TTTTGCTGGACTTTTTACATTTACAGATTACTTACGTAGTTTTATTTTTAGTGTTCTTTCCCAAGACCTGCTGCATGTTCCCTGAATCAAGGCTTATCTGGTTTACTTCTGCATGCTAAAATGACAGCCATTATTCAGTACTTTCACGGGATCAATTTCTCCAACCTTACAATTGTCTGAATGTGAAATCTCCCTTACAGGCTTAAATGTGTGAACACTGTTTTGGATTGTGGCAGCTTGGGAGGTGGGTCTTAGTTGGAGAAACTGGGTGACTGTGGGGTAGATCTTTTTTTTTGAGATAGATTTTCTCTGTAGCTCTGGAGCCTGTCCTGGAACTAGCTCTTATAAACCAGGCTGGCCTTGAACTCACAGAGATGAGCCTGCCTCTGCCCCCAAGTGCTTGGATTAAAGGTGTGTGCTACCACCACCCGACTGTGGGGTAGATTTTGAAGCTGATAGACTGACCATGCTTCCTCCTATCTCTGCTTCCTGGTCTTCTCATACATGAGCATGTTATGGCTCCACAGTTGTTCATGAACTACTGTCATCACTTTTCCCACTATGATGGATTGTGTCCTCTAATTCCTGACCAAAAAAATATCTTAAATATACTCCTTTCCCTCTTGTTGCTTCTTGTCGCTGCAACAAGTAACTAACCCATATTCTTATTCTAGTTCCTTGACACTGTGTACACACACACACACACACACACACACACACACAGAGAGAGAGAGAGAGAGAGAGAGAGAGAGAGAGAGAGAGAGAGAATGTAGCCACTGATCCTGTTAGTTTGTTTTGTTTTTTACTTTAGTACCTTCCTTTAGTGTACTGTCTACTTACGAAGACTGGATGCACAAGTCTCATGATGCAAGAACTACAACCAGTTTTCTCTGCTTCCTTGGCTAGGGTCTGAAGGGTGTTTTGAATAACAGAAAAATCAAAAGGTGAAGCATGGCCAAGCCACTAATCATCATACTTCATGGAATCTGAAGCTGTGTTGCTAAAGTGTATCCAGAAATCAGACATATTCATGTGTATCTGGGTGTGGGGGCAGGGCATCTCTGAGTTGGTGATATGTAGTGACATTTCATTTGCATTTTAATCAAAAAAGCTTGCCTGAAGATCAGAGAGTAAAAAAGCCCCACTGGTCAGCCTTACAGACTAGGCAATGGTAACTCACTCCTTTAATCTCAGTAGCCACACTAGTTGCCATAGAAACTGGGCGGTGCACGCCTTTAATACCAGATTATGAAACAGGAGGACAGCTCTCAACACAGTCTCATTCTGAGATTCCTGGAGGCAGGATTGCCATTTAAGTCTGAGGTAGAGGTAAGAGCCAGTGGCTGGCTGCTTTGCTTTCCTGATCTTCAGATTGAACCCCAATTTCAGTCTCTGAATTTTTAATTAATCATGCATCAGTGGTGTACCCATCTTCTCAATCTGGTATCACTGACCTTTGAGCTGTGGGAATATTTGAAAGATTTAGCAAAATCTTGTCTGCCCACCATGGTTTTCATTTTCATTCAAGTATTTAATGAGAAAGCTAGAGTACTCCAGGGACTGCCAGCAAAACATCCTGTTAAAGTCAGATGACTGACTGGGACTTTTACTCACTCCTTCCTATTGCTTCAGTGCCTTATAGTATATATTTAAAACAGAAAGCAAAACCATTCAAACATAATCTAAAGGCTAAAGAGCAATTTATGGCATTACTTATATGTGGAAAGATATATATTTAGTACTAAAACACCAACTTATATTTGGGTCCTAAAATTACTCATTCAATGTGTGACTGGGTTACGTATGTGCTAGATACCAATAATCAAACTAATGAAACTCACTGGCTGCCCTTGAAGAATTCACTTTAGTGGGAAAAGACAGTCAATGTACAACTAATCTTATGATGTAATGAAGTGTATTAGTTATATATCACCATATATTTTAGCCACAGAAGTACCCATATCCCAGTGACACATAATAATTGACAACAATAATTATGAAGATGCTTTTAGCTCAGTGTCATTTTTGTCAACAGCCCAACCCAGTCTTTAGGTAGCAGCAATTTGGTGTAAACCACTCTCGTGACAGAATCAAATACATCCGAGATTCATTTATTGCCAGTGTTTAAAGATTCTAGTTGGATTCTTAAGGTCCTTGTGCCCATTAGATAAACAAGGGTTCATGATGGGATGCAATATCAATTGGGGACAATATAAAAATTCACAAGGTTAAAGAAAATAAAGCAGAGGCTGGAAGGAGGCAGGTATACTGGTACACTGGAAGTGGAATGGGGATTTGACAGGTTTAAAGAAGGCATGTGCTGTGTTATTGGGATCAATAGCAGGTGAGTTCATTTACAAAAGATCCATTTCCTCATTTTCTTGGTCAAACACTGTTAGAGTGAGGAGTGGGCCCCTAACCAAATTCCACAGCAATAGAAACAAAGGTGACAAAGGATCCCAGGGTCCAAGAAAATTATGGATCACAATGTGGAACCTGAGATTCCAAATCACCATAAAGGATACACTGCTTTAAAAGTGAGAAAAGCTACAGAGGTACATGGGATATAGCACTGTTGTGGAATATTAGTTGAAGATGTGTTGTTACATTTGTTTATGCTGTGGAGAATTTGTTTAAAGATGTAAAGATGTCAGACACAGAATAAGAAGGAAAGAAAAGAGATACAGAAATAGAGAAAGTTGTAAAAGCCCAGAGGCAAAAGGTAGATGGGATAATTTAAGAAAAGCAGGCTATAAATAAGCCAAGCTAAGGCTGGACATGCAAAAGAAAATGTTAAGTCTCCATGCAATTATTTGGGAACTCGGTGGCAGTCAAAGAGTAAAAACAAAACAAACAAATAAAAAACCCCAAAACCAACAACATTTTGGCATTTCACCATGGGCCCCATATTTTCACCTAGGGATTGAGAAAGCTTTAAAAAAACACTAAACAGCAAAAAACAGATACAGCTTCTTTAAGAGCAAGCCCTTGAGCAGCAAGTACATTAAATAAAAGCAAAACAAAACAAAAAAGCTAAATTAAAAAAAATGCCTGCCACAGTGCAAGCCATCAGCATTTCGGAGTTGGGGTGTGTGTGTGTGGGGGTTAAATGCAGTTCCTGCTCAAACGAACCTCCAACTGGGCATTAGGCTTGGCTTTCGTGACCAAAGAAGCAAGCACAGCCAGCCACCAAAGCCATGCGGAGGTCCTAGACACACCACTTAGCAATTTAAAGGTTTATGCACTCAAAAAAGTCTAAAAGATATGCAGTAAAAGAGGTCCAGATGGAAAATCCTCTAAAAAGGTGTTTAATAATATGCATAGGCTTAAAAAAAGAGAAAGGGTATAGACAGTTAGAAAACATTGTTTAAAAGATGGCTCAGAGGTTGAGTCAGAGGTCGAGTTCAATTCCCAGCAATCACATGTTGGCTCACAACCATTTGTAATGAGATCTGGTGCCCTCTTCTGGGGTGAGGGAATACATGGAGGCAGAACGCTGTATGCATAATAAATAAATAAAATCTTTAAAATGTAAAAAATTGTTTAAAAATAATAAAGTCTTTAAAGAGAATAAAAGTAATATAAAAATAAAAAAGCCACTTGAGATGGGAAATACACAGGGAATCGGTTTTGCCTTTTTTTGATTGATTGCTGATAAGCAAAAGACAGCTGCTAAGAGACATGGGATTGCAAGAGGGACTGATGAAATAAATCAGCCTAGATACTTTAAGAATGGCTTATCTTTAAAATTGAACTCTTCTACATGATTCCTGAGAGTGTTTGTAGAGAAAAAAAAATGCTTTTTTATCTTTTCACATCTATTACTTCAACTTTGTTTTCTTTTATTCTAATTTACCTTGATAAATATACACAAATTTACTACTTTGCTACTGTAAATATACAATGAGTGAGCATTACATATATCTACAATGTTGTACAACCATTAGTACTATCTAAAGCCACAACTTTTCTTTCATTCCATACTGAAATTCTGGGGCAATGAAACAGTAACTTCCCATTTCCTTTTTAATGACCACCTGGTAACTTCTATTTCTAAATTTCATGTAAGTGGATTCATACAGAATTTGTCCTTGTGCCTGGCTTAATGTAATTCATCTGGCAGTATGTGTCAAAATTTCATTCATTTTAAAGAATAAATCACACACACACACACACACACACATACACACACACACAGAGTGTGTTTCATACTTCATTCACCTGATGATAAAGATTCGTTTTTACCTTTAGACTGTTTGGAATACTGATATTCTAAGCATTGGATGCTTTCTAAAAATTTTGCGATTTGATATATAACATAGTAGTTGTTTTACACAGTAACTATATTTTAAATCTCCACTATCATATAAGGGCTCTAATGTCTCCATATCCTCACTTTACCTTTTTATTTAAAAATAAAATAATATTAATACCAACTAATAAATATCTAAGCAGAGATTAAGCACACTCATACAATTCTAGCACCACGGAGGCTGAAGCATTGTGAGTTTAAGGTCAATTTAAGTTATATAGGTGAGACTGAAAACACGAAATGACTGGAGATATAGTTTAGTGATAGATGACTTTGGGTTTGACTCTTAGCACTTTTGAGAAAGATATCCTAAATATTTTCTGTTCATGTGAAATTCTAAAAAACAAAGGAAGTAGAGGAAAGAAAGATTGTCCGATGGTGTATTCTGATGGCGAGCATTTGTGTATGTATATATTCTATCCTACACTGTTTCACACTGGATCAGTTTCAGGGGACTTCATAAGATGTGACAGCTTCAGCCTGTAGAATGAGCCCCAGAGATTTCAACCCACCTCATTTACACAGAAAACTGCAAGTAAAACCTCTTCTGTGGTATGGAAAACCAGGGTTTTACTCTTAAGTACAGTACTAAGTAGTTTCAAAGTCCCTTTTTACAAGACCAACAAGCCCACATATTAATACACTGTGGAGAAGGAAAGTAAAATAAAATCTCAGACTTAGGTATTAATTGCTGTGCTTATTTAACTTTATTATATTCTTCAAATTTGAAGATAACAAAACATAGTATTACAAACACCTGACGATCACTCAACTGAACATAGCATCTTCATACAAACAATTTGCAAGAAGATCAATTTTAAGAATATAGTTGTATCAGATATGACATAGGTGAAATAATCTCTTATACATTTCTGTTGTTATATAAAACACATTTGGTATTTTAAAGAGAAAATGGACATTCTTGTCCTGGTGAACATTTTGTTGACATTTAGAACAAATGGCTAATACATGTATAACTGATTCTCACAGCTTGTATGTATTACATCACTATATAATGTAATGGCATGTAGCATCATTTTCCTTTGAAAGCTCTCATTTATAAAAATAGAGCACCAATCTTTTAAAATGTAGTAGAATTGATGGCTCAATAAGTAAATTAATTAGAAATATTGCATAGGATAAAGAGCTTCCCTATGTGGGAGCCAATCTAAGTAGAGTTTCTTAACACCTGAATAATAAGCTGAGAGGTACTGATAATAGTAAAATGATGTACATATTTTTGATGGAATAAACATCTATATATAGTTCTTTATTACCTTTGTGGCAGTGTAAAGTGCCATAATAAATCAAAAGATCACTTGTGTATTCTCACAAATATAGAAGAGTACATAAATATGCTAAAGTATCCATATGAGTAATAAACACAAAATAAAATATTTTTTAAAATTTGGACACAAATATCTTGAAAATAGACATGTCAGGATTGGATGTCTAATGTTTGAGCTTAGCAAAAATTCAGAAAATTGTAAAATAGGTATAAAGTTTATCCAATCCATCCAATATACTCTGGTAGAATAAACAAAATTTATTCACTTTAATCTATCCTAAAAATATCAAAGACTAGTAAGAACACTTTATGCAAGCTTATAAACTTGTGTTTTCCCCTTTGTATGAACAGATACACCAGCAAGGTCATGAAAACAAAGGAGAATAATTTATATGGCTCTTTCCTTTCTAGAAGTAGTATATCATGAATAGAATAATGGGGAAGGAGACGGGAGCTTAAGTGCATCATTAAGTTCTTTTGAGAGAAAATTGTCATGGTTTTGTAATAGATTATGTTGCTGGTATTTTCCCCTTTGGGGTTTAGCTATTTGGTTCTAGATATAAAAATTAATCCTAATAAAAGGTTTTCCTCTGTTTGCTACATTACGTACACTTGTAAACACAATAAAAATAATTAAAGACATAAATAATAAATTGCCAGTTATAAGTATGCTAATAAAACATATTCAGTGTCGTTTAAAGAGTAAGAGCATACTATCAATGTAATTGTACTACAATTTTGATAAAATATTTTTATAAAAACCTTTCATAAAATACAAACTGATGAGAAGGAAATTACTTTTAAAGTAAAACATTTTAAGTATACCTGAGAATTGTCTCTAATCTAAATTTTCACATTTTCAATTATATTTTATTTCTTTAAGTTTTTCAATGTAGTAACATAGTTTTAATGCTGGTCCTAGTTTCAGCCCCATATACTTCATCATCAGCTCACTCTTCAGTAGTAGCAAAGCTTTTCCATCAATTTCCTATAGAGAGAAGAAAATTATAATAAGAATCCTTCCATAGTTTATACAGTATTGTACTATATATACATACATATAAATACATATATATGTATATATATTCATTCTCTGGATATATTTCTATGAAAACTAATAAAATTTGATTTGTACAATGGAGCATCATTTGACAATTTACAAACTTAATTAAATTTTTAAGAAAAAGGTTTAACCCCGTACTTCCAATATATGTTCTAAGTACCAAAGTATCTGACTTTACTGTGTACTAAACAAAATATTAGCACATATTTATGACAAATAGTTAAAGACTAAGAATAGTAGAAATAAATTTCATATGTTATTAACTTTCTGAGAAGGGAGAGGAGTATGTCATTATCAGTGTAAACTGCAAACATGCTATACAGTTTCATCTTCATGTTAAAAGCTAATCAGCTGTCTGAAGCTAGTTAGGTGTTGAAACAAATATTGATTTACTTAAAATATTGAAGAGGGGCTTGGAAGGATTGCTCAGTCAGTAAAACACTTGTGTTGAAAACATGAAGACTGGAGTTGAATATCCAGAATCCTCGTAAAAATGCCAGACATGGTGGCATGTACTTAAATTCCAGCAACGAAGAGGTAAAGACATGATAATCCCTGGGGTGTGCTGGCCAATCAGTGTAACCTAGTTGATAAGCCCCCAGATCGCAAAGAGAGACCCTGTGTCAAAGGAAGCTTGATAGCCTTACTGAAGGTGATACCTGAGATTGTCCTCTGGCTCCCATAAGACATATATATATACACATGTGCATTTGCACCTGCACACACATGTGTACACACACACGCACGCATAAAATAGTGTACACCAGACATTAAACCAATGATTTTATATTATAAAATGTTGTGAACACATTACTTAACAGTCACAAGGAATCCTTTTAAAATTTTTTTATTGTTGTAAGTATACAATTTATTTCATAAAAGCCTATTTGTTATTCAAATTATAATGAAGTTGCTGTTTTCACTGGGTATCACGAGAAGGTCACCCTGGTATATGCTGTGGGTTAACCCCTCCTACTCGTGGTCCTAGAATAGAACAGGGAGCAGGTTGGGGGGAGGGTTCTTGTATTTGTCATTACAAGAAGGGGTGGTCTACATGAGAGTGGCAATCCTATAATACCACCTCTTGAAAACTTGAGTTTGTTTAGTGTATGAGATTCTTAGATACCCATTTAAAGAACAGTCAGTTAACCTACCATTTAAGGCCTGAATGTTGGGCAAAGCAATCTTTCTCCCAAATGAAAAAGATCAGTTGATATGGTTCCCCCACCATCCATACAACTCAGTAGCAAACTGAAAGGCCTGCACAGAGGTCATTCAAAGGCATAAGGGCAGCAGGAAAACCGGATCAAAAGATACGTTACATGTTGCCTGAAGAGGTCGGCGAGGGGGCCTGATATGTGAGGATCTGTATGTTTCATAAACTGTATCACTTCATCCACAGACCAGGTTGAAGGGTCCTTACAGAAGCCTTGTTTCAGGACACTGGGGTCAGGTACAGCTATATAACTTGAAGCTTCAATGGGAGGGGAAAAAAAACAAATCATACTTGACCTGATCATAATCCTGAAAGAAGAGACGTTAGGTAGAAAGTAATGGTCTCACCCTGGAACCTTCTCTTCAGTACCTAAGTAAGGACTCAAGATTCCAACTGTAAAATCTCATGAGAGCCTTAAGGAAGATGATCTGCAGAGTGCTGCACAGAGTATGTCACTGGACCTCCCCAAAGAACAGAACAACTTTACACAGAAAGTACAAAGCTTCCATGTTCATGAAACACGTGTAGCAATCCAAGGCCTCTTAGGTCACAAGCAAGTACAGGAAAAGGTGCTACTTGGATTAAATTGGGATAAGCTGAGCTAATTCAGTACTGTCTTCTTTGAACAGATCCAACAAACTTCGCACAAGCTGCTCTTTTAATTTCTTTTTCTTCTAAATTAATGTTATCTTGTTAAATATGATGGGGCCTTTCAAGTTTACAGATTTATAATCCTTATATTTTTCAACTTAACTAATATATTTCAGCAATCCCATTATGTTTGAAAAGGAGATCAGTTATTGGAAGCATTCTCCTCAATTCAGTATGGTCATTTTTAGCATCACTTTTACACTATAGATTCTCATCTCTGGCTTAAATGTTAATCTCAATTTTAAAGAAAAAAATTATTTCCTGTTCAGCTCTGTCAGAAAGTAGCTTTAGTAGTATTTTTATTTGATCCCTCTTTCATGATTCACTATACAGCAATAGATATTTTGATTAGACATTTAATAAAAAGGCAACAAGACAAAATACAACTACGGTATTCATCTGATGAGGTTCAGGTTTTAGAGGTGTTCACTAAGTCGTGTAGAAATTTGTGTTCAAATACTCATTAACTTAAGGAGAATGCTCAACTTCCTACTGAGTGTGTGATGATAAAGAAGGTTTTGAACTGTGATGATAAAGAAGGTTTTGAACTTTTCTAGGAAAAATCTGTTTATATTTCTAGGTATGAATTAGTCAAAGGTATTTAATTTGTTCCTTATCATCCAGGTCATGGCAAATATATGGATGCTTTGAGTATTTACCCCAAGAAGTATAAAAAAGTAAAGAAAATGTGTTCAAAATTATAATGATTTTGTGAGTAGTTCTACTTTTTCTTTTCTTTACAAAACCACAACTGTAAAGGGAAATAAATATCTACTAAAATACATCCTAGCCTTAAAATTTCAGAAAACATAAATAAAAATTTGCTGGACTTCATTAATTTAGGTAAAACTGGTGATAATGTAGCTGGGAGTTTCCAACATTTGATACTGCAACATGATGTCATTTACAAATCTGTTGGGCTATATTCTCAACTATCCTGGCACACTTGTGACCCATGAGTCCCAGGCTGGACAAGTCTACAGACAATGTTGTACCATTTGAGGATTAGGACAATCAGAAGTTATCTTTTACTCAACAATGCCATAAATATTAAAATATTTACAAGATTAATTATATTTCTAAACCAACCTAGATTTTAAAAAGGTTTCTGTCATCAGAATCTGGTATAGTTATGTCTTGTATAACATGTAACTACTTTACAGCTAGACTGTGTGAAAAGGTATGATTTCTGGCATAAAATTAATTTCAAATTAAGACTATAAGATCTTCTGTCTTCACTCTATTACTGAAACAAAATTGAGGATGCATCTTCAAAATGATCAGAGGTGGTTGTAAACACTACATGACTACTACTCAAATATGAAACAAACTAATCATTAGAAAACAAAGTTCAGGTATAATTTTTCCTGTCTTTAGAGGTTGGGGTAACAATAAATATACCTGAAATAAAGTGATTTAATTTCTCCTGACTATCATGGAATTTCTTCATAATGTAAAGATGAACAATTTTCTTTTATTCAAATAATGAAAGAATAATACAATAAGAGTTGTGTCAGCAACAGTGATAAATGGTGCTTAAACTAATAGTCACAGAACCTGAAAGAAAATAATGACAAATCTAGAAAGTTTTGAAATGAAATAGTTATCTTTTCTCTAGAGGTGCAGGCAATCAGTGTCTAGATTCAAGAATTGGCCTAGCCACATTTTTGTCTCAGGAATCATAGCCAAGTGACTTCTGAGATTTTTTTTCACTGAAAATGTTTACTAGTAGCTATTCTTCAAGGAGTTTTAAAAATTATGTAGATGAAGCCATATCAAATATATGCCTGGCACATAATGTCACATGATGATGATGACTTATTTCTAGCATCACAAAGCACTAATAAGCAATATCATTACTATTTATCTCTCCATTCCTAGGATGTAGCATTACTCAAACATTTGGAAGTCAGATAACTAGCATTAGAAATTTTAAAATCAGAAAATTTTACAATCTTTTACTAAGAAAGCCTTTTTCACAAGTTGATATTTAGTGAACCTAGAATTAACATTTCATATTAGTTCTTATGGACTAAATATCCATTTTTAGAACTTTGGTAAACAATATCACTTTAAAAACAAACAATCACTAAAGGAGGTGGTGTAGGATAGAAGAGACAACATTAAATGTGTCATAGATGTGTATAGTGAGGTTGCTCATAGATAACATCCATGATTAAAAAAAAACAAGGTCATTGCTTTTTTATGTTCTCTACTCTTCAACCCAGTCTAAAGAAAATGGACAGAACACTTATTATCTCCTTCACTCTCCTACACTCTTAGCCCTTAAAAGGTTAAGTAGTTGCAGCAGGAAATGCTATGTAATATTTTTCTTTTCAAAGAAGATGCCACCTTTTCTTGGCAGATCTAATAGAATGACAGTGGATATGATGATTAGGGAAATGATGTGGTTACAGAAACAGGATGCCAGAGACCTGATTCAAAAGCCACACACAGGCTGGTACCAGGAAAGGTCTCAACAGATATGGCAGCACATCAGAAACAAGGAGAAGGAATGTGTCCTTCTTGGCCGAAATAGCCATGAGAGGTTAAGAGTTCTCGCAGCACTTGAGGAATTGTTTACACCTGCTTGAGAACTACTAATCAGAGAAGTCTCTATCTAATACGGCTGGTGAGTCAAAGTCCCAGAGACAGTTCTGTGATGCTATGAGGACAGGAACAGCCACAACAGTATTGTCCCCGGCAATGTGGAAGAGAGAACATGACCTCTCTAATTTTGACATTTTAAGAGGTGATCAGCTGGTATGGTCAGGGACGTAATCCTCAAGGAAAAAGATAAACATACTGACTGAGAAACACTATTCTTGAATATACCTTCATTTTTCTTTTTCCATTAGTATTTAATGTGCTTATAAGTCTTCAAGGTAGACGATTTTTTCATAACTATAGATGTACTTGATGGATTTGACACAATCTCAGAAACACTCTTGGAGACTGAAGTATACGCAGGATACAAGAAATCACCTATTGATGAATTCTCAGAAGTTTCAAGAAAACCTTTCATGTCATATAGGGGGAAAAGAGATAATCTTCAACAGCTCAAATTCTTTTAGAAGGATGTCTTACTTTTCCATTACCACGACAAAACACCATGACAAGGGAAAAAAAACCCCAAAAAAAACAAACCCATTTAATCTGGGAGCTCATGGTTCAAGAGAGAGAGTTCATGACCATCAAGGTGGGGGACACGTAGGAATAGGCATGGTGCTGGAGCAGTACTTGAGAGCTGAGAGCTTACATCTGATCCATTAGCAAGCGGCAGAGGGAGGGAGGGAGGGAGGGAGGAAGGGAGGGAGGAAGAGAGAGAGAGAGAGAGAGAGAGAGAGAGAGAGAGAGAGCGAGAGAGAGCACTAACGCTAACTGGGACTGGTGTAAGCTTTTATGACCTCAACTCCCTCCTTCAGCAACCTATCTTCTCCAAAAAGGTCACATCTTCTAATCTTTCTCAAAGAGCTCCAGCAACTGGGGACAAAATATTCAACTCTATGAGCCTTTGGGTTCCATTCTCATTCTACCACATTTCACTCCATGGTCCCCACAGGCTTGCAGCAATATCATAAAGCAGAATATATCTCATTCAACTTCAAAAGTCTCAACAGTTTTTCAACAATGAAACTATTTAAAAGTCCAAAGTCTCTTTTGAGGTTTGAGGCAGTTTCTTAACTGTAAGCCCCTGTAAAATCAAAAGTAAATTACATATACCCAACATGCAATGGCACAAAATACACATTACCATTCCAAAAGGGAGGAATAGGGGCATAGTGATATAATACTGGACCAAAGCAAGACTAAAACCTAGCAGGGCATCCTCCAAATCCTGCAGATCTATGTTGGATTGTCAAAGGGCTTAGATGGCTCTGCCCTTCCAGCTTTGCTGACTGCAACACATTTCTTTCTCTTGAACGGGTTCCACTCACTGTATGCAGCTTTCCTTGGCAGATATCCTACAGCTCTGACATCCCCAACATCCTGGGGTCTCCAATACATATCCAGGCTTCACTTTCACAGCTTCGTGCAATGGCCTCTCTGGGTCTGCATGCAGAGACTTCCCTGCAACACTCCTGACCTCAGTAGCTTTCTTTAATGGTGTAGGAAGACTCCACAAACCCTTTATTCTTGTATCCTTCTTGACTCTAAAGCCAGACCATGGCTGCCAAGTTCTGTTGCAGGATCAGGATGAAACCTGGCCCCTTCCTTGAAATATTTACATAAGTTTTGATTTGTTGTTGCTTTTTAGGAACAGATAATACCTTAGGCCTTTTCACAAGTTATAGAATTAGTTGGGTGGCATCTTGCCCTGAGGTCACCCTTCCCTTTATTCCATTTCTCCTTATCTCTTTCAGCACAAACCAAGGCTCTAACATAAAATTTCCTGTTGGTCTTTTTCTCCTCAAACTGTGTATTTTGTATTTCTTGTAGCCCTGCTTGTTCTTTTTCATTGCAGATCAGCATAAGAGTGATCACTAGTAACCACATGACAGAGTCAATATTTGGCAGTCTTGAAATCTCTTCTGCAAATGAAACTAATCCAGAACTCTTCAATTTAGTGTCATGAAGATGCTTAGACAAGGACAAAATGCAGCCACATTCTTATCCAAAATATCACCAAAACAGCTAGCCAAGTTGCTAATATTGTTCTCATCTGAAATCTCTTGAGTGGGTTCACATCATTCTCAGCATTAATATCTTCTAAGCTCCTACTATGATGGCCCATTAAGTTCCACTTATAGCATTCAAGCATGCTCTTAGTTCAAAATCCCAAAGTCTTTCACATCCCTCTGAAAAAAACGGCATCATCAGGCCTGTTACAACACTAGCCCACTCTGTGGTACCACATTCTATCTTAGTTACTTTTTATTGCCCAGAAAAAACACCACGACCAAAGACACTTAGAAAAGAGAGCATTTAATTTTGGGGCTCACTGTTATAGAGTTAAGAGCTCATAATCATTATGATGGGGAGCATGGCAACAAGCAAGCAGGCATGGCACTTGAGCAATAGCTGAGAGCATACATATTGAAACACAACAACAAGGCAGAGACAGTCACACTGTATGAATCTCTCTTTTGAAATCTTAAAGCCTACCCTGGTGACAGATCTCTTTCAACAATGCCATAACTCCTAATCCCTCCCAAATAGTTCCACCTAATGGTGATGAAACATCCAAATATCTGAGCCTATGGAGGTCATTCTCATTCAAACGACCACAAAGACCAAAAACTTATCTTGTTTTCCTACTGTGCCTTTTATCCTACTACTGAAGAGACAGGGAAGGGCATATCTTTCTGAGTTTGAGACCAGAATGGTTTATATAGTGAGTTTCAAGCCAGCCAGAATTAAACAGTAAGACTTTATCTTAAAAAATTAAAGTATCTTCCAATAAATCTAACAAAGTGAAATATCTGTATAATGAAAACTATAAGACACTAAAGAAAGAAATCAAAGAAGATAACAGAAGATGGAAAAACCAATCTACAGATTCAATGCAATTGGTAATCCTCATCAAAATACCAATGCAATTTCTTCACAGAAACTGAAAAAAGGATCTTAAAGTTTACATGGAAACACAGAAGGACCCATGATAGTCAAAAAATTCCAAATAATAAACAGACTGGCTGGAGGTACCAGCATTCCTGATTTCAAGAAATATTATAGAAGTATAGCAATAAAAACAACATGGTATTGTCATCAAAACACATCAATTAGTAATATAGAACTGAGGACCCAGATACAATTTGACCCTCTTACAGCCACCTGGCTATCAACAAAGAGGCCAAATATATATATTGGAGAAAAGATATCTTCAATTTATGGTATTGGTTGAGCTGAATAGATAATATGTAGAAAAAGGAACAAAACTCTATTCTAAATGAATAAAAGATGTCAACATAAGACCCAATACACTAAATCTGTTAGAGGGAATAGTAGGAATATGTAGGAGGAGGGCCCGCTTGTTTGTTCCGGCTGCCTGGCTAGCTTAGCCTCAAAGTAACCACACAGAAACTGTATTCAGTTTGGTCCATTATCTCTAGCTTCTTATTGGCTAACTCTTATATTAATTTAACCCATAACTATTAATCTGTGTATTTCCACGTGGCAGTGGCTTACTGGGTAAAATTCCCAGCGTCTGTTTCTGGAGGCTCCATGGCGTCTCTCAGACTCTGCCTACTTTCTCTCAGCATGCCATTTAGTTTTCCCCACCTACCTAAGTTCTGTCCTATCAACAGGCCAAGGCAGTTTCTTTATTAATTAACCAATGAAAGCAACACACAGACAGAAGGACCTCCCACACCAGGGATAAACTTCAACTTTTAGGTACAGGCAAGGACTTTCTTAACAGAATGCCAGTAGTGCAGGCATTAAGATCAGTGATTGACAAATGAGACCTGCTTAAATTAAAAGCTTCTGTACAGCAAAGTATACTATCATTAGAGTGAAGAGCCAGTCTATAGAATGAGAAAAAAAATTCTTTACAAGCTCTACATCTCATAGAGGGCTAGTGTGTAGATTATAAAAAGAACTAAAAAAAAACAAACTCAATTTAAAATTTTGGCATGTAACCAAATAAAGATCTCAAGTGACAAATACAAATGGATTGGAAACTTTCAAAAATGGTTCCATATCTTTAGTGATAGGGAAATGCAAACTAATACTACTTTAAGATTTTATTGTACCCCAGTTTGAATGGCTAAGAGTTAAAAATAAGTTGGACAAAAAATTCTGGATGTGGATGTGGGGAAAGGAGCATAATTATACACTATTTATGGGAGTATAAACTGGTACAACCAGTATGGAAATAAGTGTAGAGGTTCCTTAAAAATAAATTTATCATATGATTCAGCTATAAATCTCCTGAGCATATACTCAAAGGACTCTATATCCTATTACGGAGATACTAGTTCATCCATGTTCACTGCTGCTCTATTCACAAGAGAAAGGAAATAGAAATGGCCTAGGTGCATATCAACTGATGAATGGCTAATGATAATGTGGTACACTTACATAATGGAATATTATTAAGCTGCTATGAAAAATGAACAAGAAATTCCCAAGTAAAGGATGGAACTAGAAATAACCATTAGTGAGGTAACTTAGACTTGGAGAGACAAATATTTCACATTTTTGCTTTTATGTGAACTCTAGCTTTGAATCTCCAGATATATGTGCTTAACTTGGAGTACACATAGAAGTCAGGAAAACAGTAAGAGAACAGGGAATAATGGAGCAAGAAGGGTTAAGTGGGTTAGGGGTTGGAGGGCAGAGTAGCGAAGGGAGTTTTCAGAGAGATAACTAACACAAAAGGCTTTTGAAAAAGCCAAATGGAAACCTACTTGTACTACTTGTACAAGCTTCCTAAAACACACACACACACACACACACACACACACACACACACACACACACACACTAAAAGTTCAAAGTTCAAATGGGGCCCCTTACAGACATGATAATCTATCAAAACCTCAGTGCCAGGAACATGTTACTTCTTTAGAAATGGATGGTCAGTGGGGCTTCATAGACCAGTAAATATAAGCAGGGTTATTACCACTGTTCTTGGATACCCCCCAGAACTTAAGGTCAGGTTATGAGGTCACATAAGACCCTACTTGCTAAAGATACCACATAGAACATAGAGAAATCAAGCTGTTCTGGCCTGTAAGCTACTGGCTAGCTTTCACTGTGCTGGGTGGTGCTGGGCACTCTATTAAGGGAGAAAAATAATCAACAGTCCTACAAAGGTATGAACCCTACAAACTATTATAGTTATGGTCAAGATACATTTACTGTTACTATAATGGTATGAATGCTATGGAAGTAACCAATCACTTAATGATTGTATTGTATTATTGTATTTAAGGTCTTCTTCAGAAGATTGAACTCAAGCTTGGCATGTTAATGAGGCCAAGGACCTGAGTATAGGTTACAAGACCTAGAGGAGAACTTTTTCTGCTAAAAGTACACAGTACTAAACTAACTCCTAGAGATTTATACACAGATAAGTGTATCTCTTAAGTCTCCTCAGAGAAGATCCTTTTTGCAGTAGATAAAGATTAGCAGAGAGCTATATCATACTGTGACCACAAGGCTAGTAATCATCTCAGAAGAGGAGGCAGAAAGATTATGAGAGCCAGAGGCAGTAAATAACTACAAAAAACTATTTTCTAGATACAATTTGGCAACTGCATATATAAATTCACATCTGTGACTTCATGCACATGATCAAATCAGACAAAAATTTCAGCATGGATATGAAAGGGACTTAGGACATCTCACCCCTAGGCAAGGAACTACTAACAACTGATTGCTACTGAGAGAGGGAGAATCAGTTTTCTTCAGGGATGCAGCCCCTGAGAATCTCTGCTCCAGCAGATAGTCCTGTATGTATGCACATAATAGCAGAACTATGTAGACTCTGTGGGTTGAAATAACAACAACAACAACAGAGGGAGTGAATCCATGAAATTGGGAGGAAACTGTTGTGTAGGTGTAGAGGAGTAGTTGGAGGGGGGAGAATGAGGTAAGGCTTGATTAAAATATATTACATACATGTATGCAATTCTTAAGGAAAATACCTTATTTCCAATAACAGACCACTTAGTGTTCTATTGAATGGCAAACTTCTAATACAAAATACATGGACAACTCTTTTTCATCATACAAATGAACACTCCTAAAATCCACATTGATTCTAGGCCATCATCTATGTTTTACATGACAATTTAGTATATCTTTCCATTCTTGCAACCAAAGCTGTAAACTTCTAAAAAACATTTCTTCTTAGGAGCACAATTCTTCAGAAATATTCCTTATGACCATACTGTTATTTTCTCATATTTGCTTACACTTTCACTGGAGAAAACACATTAGCTTTTCTCTCACTCATTTTCCTGGTTATAAGCAATGCAAAGCAGAATGGATAGTGCTACTCTAAGTCTTTTTTAGTTCAGGGAAAAATGACAAAAGTATATTTCTGAAAGGAATACAGTGCTCAGTGACCAAAGTAATAATGTAATTGTCAAGCATGGGTGAATTTAGCTTCCTACCCTCAAAACCATCACACCAAGAGCACACATAGGTGGTGACTGAGGGACTGACTTTCTCAATTCTGGTGTGTGTGAATGCCATTTACCTTTAGAGGCCCGCCCACTCTTTCTGGGAACCTTTGATGAGACCGAAGCAAAAGGTAGAGGTCGTTGAGAAAATCGTTTGAGTCTTCTCCTTTCCTTTAGTTCCTCATTTACTGCTTTAAAAAAAGGTACATGTTATAATTACTATAGTCAGGTATTTTTGTATTATCTGTATGAAGTACTTCTGCATCAAAGTAATTTGCAGACTATGACTTCAACAACAGTGTCAATTATTTGACTATAATAACAGGTTCACTGCATCCTATTATGTATTTCTACTGAAATAATCTATTAAAGAGTTGGATTGGAGAGATGGCTCAGAAGTTAAGAGCCTATCAAAGCACTAGAGACCAGATCCCAGCACCCACAGCAGGCAGCTTACAAAGCCTGTAAACTCCAAGAGATCTGATGCATTCTTCTGGGTTTTGTGAGCACTTTAATGCACATACATACATAAATAAATTCTAGTGTTCAGCAGGACGGTGGGGGTGCACACCTTTAATTCCAGCACTCGGGAGGCAGAGGCAGGTAAATCTCTGTGAGTTTGAGGCCAGTCAATTCTACAGATCAAGTTTCAGAACAGGCTACAAAGCTACACAGAGTAACCCTGTCTCGAAAAAAAATCTTGTGTTTGTCTATGTGTGTATTTTGAATAATTTAGAAGCATTTAGAGAAAGATATGTCTAAATTTTATTAATCCTGTGATCACATACCAGGCAAACACTCTACCACTGAGCTATATCCCCTACTTATTTTCTATTCTGATACTAAACTGTCTAAGCTAGGCTTGAAATTTATCTCACATAGGCCTTAGATTGCTTCAAAATCTCCAGTAGTTGAGATTACAGGTCTATGTCAACAGACATGGCTGTACATATTTCCTCATAATTCAGAAAGTAACTACTTTGTAGAAAGGCAAACTGAGAATCAGGGAGGTTCAGTACTTTGTCCATAAAGTATAATTCTAATTAACAGCAAGCCTTGGATTAAAATTTATATCTGCCAGACTTCATGTCCTTATAGTGTACAGGTTACATACACAGTCAGCACTGGAACCCAGATTTGATGAATTCCAACACCTTATGACAATGACTATTGTACTTTCATGTAAGGACTTCCTGTATCATAACTTTATTTCAGAGCAATTCACTAGGTAGTTATACCAGCATGGAGAAACCATAAATGGGACTCCAATTAGGAGATCACTTTACTAAGCCAGAAAAGGGGTGGGGCAATAGGGTTCTAAATGGGATAAGGGCTGTGGCAAGAAAATGGGAGAGAAAGGAATAGAGAGGAGACACTTCACTGAAACAGAGGCAATAAAGTTTATGAGGAAAAAATGAGAATATTCAGAAAGGCCTGAAAACGAGTAACTGGAGATGATACCCCGTTTTTCTACCTGACTGGAATATACTGGACTTAAACACATTAAGTATATGATGGTATTCTAGTTCCAGAATTGATACCATTTGACAAGAAGACAATGCAGCTTTAATAAGGGACTTACAGCTACTCTTGAGACATACATAAACTTCTATTATAACCAGAATATGGTTACTTGTCAATAGTCATATGAAAGAGCAACAAACATCCAAAAAATGGACAAAAAGCTCAAACAACCTTTTCACCGTAGAGATTAGAATATCACCTGCGGTTCTATAGGACAACATTGCACTCATATTTTTATTCAGTCATCAATTTGAGAGTCTATGGAAGACAGGTAGCTAATTTTGAGAAAATCATTCTTTATTATCTATGGGCTCAATAGTCTTTGCTACTTTCTTTAGATTAAGGTCAATAATGTTAAAGTCATACCTCTACCTAACAGAATATGTCAAATATCAACTATTCATAAAGAAGCAAAACATAGCACACTGGCTTTGATCCTCAAGTTCACTAGGAATACAGCTAAGACATTAATTTCTCACTTTAAGTGAAGAAAGCATAATTATATACTACATATTTTTCATTAGTTCATTGTGGCAAAATGTTTGATGACAGAAAGGAAAACTCTGAAATACTCATAGATTCCCAAGTATAAAATGCATAATAAAAGCATAGTAGGGGGTCAGCGGATAAAGACACTTGCTATGCAATCCTGGTGATCTGAGTTCAATTCCTGGAATCCATGCAAAGGTGGAAGGGGAGAACTGATTCTATGAACTTACTCTCTGGCCTCCATATGCGCACTGCTCCCAGCATCCCCTCCCCACTTTCTTAGATATACAGTATAAAAAACTTTTATTTTTCTTACCTGGTTTGTTTTGATCAAGGTCTGTAGTAGAGGTTTGAATATGAGCCTTAGACTTGAAAGGTTGACTACTCAAAAACTTATCACATTGCATGCTGCGGCAGAAATTTTCAAGAAAGCGAAGCGCAAATGATGCACTATTCACTGGAGGGAGCTGAACACTATGAACTTTCTCATCAAAGAAGGCTATGAAGCGGGGAGGTAAGGTCAGTCATCAGTCATCTCATAGACAGATGAGAAATAAAATAACAAAAGAAATCAATTCAGGAAATGTACTTTTAAGCTTACTTTCTGGGTTTTGAAATTTAAAAGGAATTGATAAAACACTATTAAGTATATATAAACAGTGCAACAGAAATGGCTTGGTTTATAGTAACTCTTCCACATCCCATGAGTACAAATGTTATGATATCTGTTTATAGAATTATGATAGACAATAGCTACAACTTATTTCTCTCCTATTTTTTTTTGAAAATTTTTTTATGGTGCTGAGCACTAAATTCAAGGCCTTGTACCTGGAAGGCAAGCATACTATTCCTGAGCTACAATCCTTAGCCTTTTCATTTTATCTTAATAAGATTTTCTTTTGAGTCACATCATTCTTTAAAGTTTATTAGAAATTTTCCAAAAAATAAAACATTTTAATAGCCAAGGTACTATGCTTAAACATCTAGCTTAGCAAAGCATATACAAGAAAAAAATTAGTATCTTTTACTTAAACTTATAGTACTACACTGACTATTATCTATTTTGTTTTCTGTTTGTTTGTGTGAAACAGGGTATCACTATATAGCCTTGGCTGACCTGGTACTTTACTTATAGCCCAGAGCACCCTTGAAGTCACAGTAGTCCTCCTGTTTCAGATTCCTGAGTACAAGGAGAATAGGTATGTGCCACAATACCTGGCGCATATCTGTCTGCTTTGATAAAAGTAAACTTTCCAAATGAGATTTAAAATTTTGTAAGCATATAACCACTAAACTTATTCTATTACAACAGTATAATAAAGTGCTATAGTAGAATATACATAAGTAATCTCGATGCAATAATAGTCTGCTTCTCTAAACCTCAAATCAAATTTAGAACAGAAATAAAGAATTAGATTAATATACCAGTTATTAATTCTCCTCCTCGATTATCTGGCTTAATAAATAAAAACACAGTCTTGGAATCAACGGCACAATCCACACAGGCCTGCACAGTCCGCCGGAGAATCACATTCACAGGACCTGGGCCAAAATGGTCAGGCAGCTGTTGAACTTTCTGTGGATTCAGGTAGGGACCACAATCTCCATGTTTATTTATATAGACACAGACTTGAGGAGAAAAAAAAGTATATAAACAATGAGATGAATTAAAACAAATTTTCTGAAAATATTACATAATTGTCATATCCTACTAGTGATTTCACTTAATGGAAACCTAAATATCGTTCATATCATTGACCATTTCTGAAAACATGCAGGTAGATATATTATCATATTTATATAAAGATATTGAACATTCAAGTAATCCAAAAATAGCTTATGTAGCATTTATGACTTCTACTCAAACTGATTATATAAAATAATATGTTTGAGAAGACATAAGGGCATCATATAATCATTCTTAATTTAGCATTGCAAGAAATGATAAAAAATTAAAGAGTCATTTCATGTTATCCTTTAAATTTTGATCTTTCCCCCTCCAACTCCTCCTAGAGCTTTCCCACTTCTCTACCTACCCAAATTCATTGTACATACAATATATAAATCTCCTTTGAAAATTGCTCATCCTTACTCATTGTAAATCACTAACAGTGTACTTCAACTGCATTTTCTAAAGCAATAAAATGATTTACGGTATATATAATAGTAAGTTGTAATGACAAAGTTTGAATATGAAAATAAAAATTTCCTTCTATATATGACTAGGCTCACTGAGGAAAATTTTAAACCACTTTCTTTGTACTATAAAATCATATAGTACAGAAGTTTCTCATGTATAATTATGGTGTCAAGTGTCGATAATTTAAATTGACAAATGCAAATCAATGAATACTAGAAAATCATGCAGGTTTATTAGTACTGAAATCATTTAAACTTAATTTGTACTGAAAAATTACATACACACTTATTTAGTAAACTAAAAACCATATTGTCAATTTTACTGGGTTGAAATATGATAATTTGACTTGTCCCAACAGTCAGAGGAAGGATAGCCTCTCTCACAGAAATGAAACAGTGATTCAAACCTAACCCAAGGTGATAATAGCACAGATACATTCAGAAGGTAAAGCAAAAGGATTTCAATATTTTATCATATTTCTGCTGTACATGTTGAGATCCCTTAGAAGAAATCATTGGTACCAGAATATTTCAAACATAATGAGATAACTTCGGGATGGAACATAAGTCTGAGCATAAACTTCATGTATACTTCATAAAAACTTAATACACAAAGCCTGAGGTAGTTTGATATCATACTTTTGTGGTACTTGTGTTTTGATTGCAACTCATCATACGAAAACAGGTGATTTTTACTTGTGTCATGTTAGTACTCAATAGGTTCATTCTTGGATTAGATATTATCAACTTGTATTCATTTAGCTAGTGTATTAAAAATCGTAAGAAATAAGAAATTATGTGTGTTAAATGAACCTTTAAGAAACAAGTGGTATTTTAAAAATAATTTCCTTTAAGTGAGAAAAATGATAAGGAAGAGTTCAAGGAAAATAAGAGCATAAAGGTGGTAATTCAGGATATAAAAGAATAGGGCATAATTTAAAACCACTAAAGGGGTGCTAGAGAGATAGCTCAAGAGCACTGACTGTTGTTTCCAGAGGGCCTGGGTTTACTTGCCAGCACATACATGACAGTTACAACTGTCTGTTGTGGCAATATTTTGTTTGTACTATAACAAATAAAGCTTGCCTGAGAATGAGAGTGCTAAGCAAACCACTAATTAGCCATACAGGCCAGGTGGTGGCACACACCCTTAATTCCAGCAGTTGGGATACAGAGGCAGATGGATCTCTGAGTTAAAGATCATCCCCGGCTACACAAGATTGAATCAGTCTAAAAGAGAAATAAAGCAAAGTAGTGGTGTCTCATCCCTTTAATCCCAGCACTAGGGAGGTGGAAATAGAAAGGGATATGACTGGGCAGAGAGAGGAATATAAGGTGGGAGAAGACAGGAGCAGTCTGAGGATTTGTGGAGGCAGGATCTTGCCCACTTTGGTCTGAGGATGTTATAGAGGGAAGAACTAGTGGCTGGCTGCTCTGCTTCTCTGATCTTTCAGTTTTCACCCTTAATATCTGACTCTGGGATTTTATTATTAAGACCAATTAGAAATCATATTACATTCTGTATCTCTCTAGTCCCAGTGGATCTGACATTCTCTTCTGGGTACGAGGCAGATACATGGTTGCACAAATACAAATGTAGGCAAAACACTCATACATACAAAATAAAATGAAAGGAAAATTAAAATGCAAAAAGATTAATAAAATGTATATGGGATGATAAAAAAGGATTTGCTTTGGTCTGTGCTCTTTGAAACATACCAGAGAAGAATTTAATATCACCATGTCCTTTGACAGAAAAATTATTTTCAAAAGGTATGAGTTATTTTGGAAAACACATATAATATGAAATGACAAAATACTTTGAAATAATAAGGATTTGATAATGACACAAATTCAAAATGTTGGATATTTACTTTCAGGTGACAGATTTACACATACTGTTTTTGCTTAACATTAAGCTGAACTATTAGTTTAACAAAATACATTAATATTTTACTCATTTCCAGTACTGTAACAACACTCAAATCAATGCTGAATAAAATATGTAATGTTTACTACTGTTTTGAAAGTACTAACTTACCTGTAGACATCACTATTTTAGATGGCCCCACAGAAGACTTACTAGACGAAGAGCTTCTCATTAGTGAACTGAGAGATGCTTTAGATGTAGAAGAAACAACTGGAATACATTTTTCCTGCTTAAAAAAAAAGGAACAAAGAATGCAGGTAATGTTCTCTTTTAAAAGCTTCCAGATTAGAAAAAAAAAAGGTTGGCATCTCTGGATCACAAAATCATCAGTTAAAAAAATGGTTGAAATCAAATGTCAGTATTTTACTACAATTTTATTATAAAATGTACATTATCACTAAATGAACTTTGATTTTAAAAATCAAGTTAGCTTTAGTTACATATTATTTTTTACAAATAAAGACGGACTTGTGCAAAAAAAAAAAAAAGAAAAAAAATGGTTGAAAACTTTCTGGGTACCAAGAACTGCAGTGATTTGCAAACTGAACTCAGGCCCACAAGCTTTTCAGGTGCCAGAGAAAGAGACCAAAGCCTAGGTAGGATTCTGTATCCTATTTTCTGATGATACCTTAATCAAAATAGTTAACTGTGCAAAACCTGTTAACTTCAAAAAATTTCTGAGGTTCCTAGCAAGACATGCTTTTTTTGTTTTTGTTTTTTGTTTTTTCTTTATTTTTCGAGAAAGGGTTCTCTGTAGCTTTGGAGCCTGTCCTGGAACTAGCTCTTGTAGCCCAGGCTGGTCTCAAACTCACAGAGATCCACCTGCCTCTGCCTTCCGAGGGCTGGGATTAAAGGCATGCGGTACCACCATCAGACAAAATATGCTTTTTAAATCACTGTTAATTCTATAAATCTCTTTTCCCATAAGCAAAAATAACCACAAAAAGGCAGAGGACCTCAGAAAGCAGCTGTTTATTCCTATTGGCTCTAGCCAGCAATAAACTTCATAAAATTGTAAATAATTTGGTGAAGACTGCTTGTTGCATGTAAGAGACAAATAAATCTTAAACACTGGTGAATATTACTAGTATTCTAATGATGTGAAATGTTGGGATTTTTCTAGGAACTACTTTCAAACTACTCTGCAGTGTCACAAAAGGTACTCCTGTGCCCAGAACAATTATGACAAAAGACAAAAGAGTAAAACAAAAGTATCATTTAAGATTTCTGCAATATGTTTTAAATTAATGACTGTTATCTGGATTCATAGTGATCTCATAAATCATGTCAAGTATTGAATTACAAATTTCATTTTTCAAAATTCTGAACCCTTTGATGCAAGATAGTATGTTTAATACCAACCCAAGTAAATACATTTATTTAGAAAATGTACTAACATATGTTTTTAAAAGTTTCTAAAATTAAATTTAATTAAATTTTATGTGTATGAATGTTCTGCCTGCATATATGTCCGTGGACCATTTGCATGCCTGGTGCCCACAGAAGACAGAAGAGGGCGTTTGATCCTTGGAACTGGTGCTACCAAGGGATGTGAGCTGTCATGTGAATGTTGGGAATCAAAATCAGGTCCTGAAGAAGAGCAGTCAGTGCTCTTAACCACTAAACAGTATCTTTAGCCCCTGTGTTAAAATCTTAAATGAAGGAAGAAAATGACAATTCACAAAGGAATCTTCTAAGAATATTTTATGAAGCTCAAAAACTTGATCAGTTATTAAAACTGTGAACATCTTTATTTTTATTATGAAATAATGAAGTTAGATGATAGTGAACTGAATTGACAATTTTGAAAAAATATAAATTATGAATTATACTATTGTTCTTTATCTCTATCACTAAATGTTTACCAAAATACCTTTTCAAAATTATATTAGTGTTGATACTAGAAAATATAAGAATCAAAAGATATTATCACTAATATTATATAACTTTCTGAGCATCTGAAAATGTGTTTTCAAATGTGTATTTTAACTTTAAATTTCAAGATTGACTTCTTAATTTTATTTCCCAATTTAAAACATTATTGCTTTAGGAAAATATTTTTTATGTTTATCATATTTTTACAAATATCTCATACTGATTTTTATAAATTTTAGATGTTTTAAAAAGAAATAGTAGTGCAAATATTTTAAAAAACAAGATGACATTATTTTGTTCACATGGAAAGTACTCATAGACACAATGTTCTTCTGGTATCATATGGAAATACTGGATGTATAAGATAATACTGTTGAGAAATTTTTACCTCAAAAATTCATGATGTATCATTTTGCACAAAAATGTTGAAACTAAAATTATATTCAGGCTTTAATAATGTAAATTGTTTATGTAGTTATATGTATCTGTTATATAAACTGTACAGGACTAGAAATGATTATAAAAAAAACTTCAGTATTTTCCTGCCCAATTCTATCCCTCCTTCTCTTCCTCCGGACTAATTACACATTAAGAAAATCTCAACTTGCTGTCTTTCTCACTATTTTAAATTCTGTATCAGTTTTTCACATTGGATAGTTTCTATTCTATTCTCCAATTCATTTACTCTTTGTTCTTTTATCACCAGAAATTACCAGTTAATTATGTTCAATGACCACTTTACTTTAGATATTACTTTTGCTCCACCCCCACTCCAGCTCCACTCTCTGCCCTATTTGAGTTCTGGCCTTGACTGCCTTTGATAATGAACTGTGATACAGAAGTGTAAGTTCCTCATAAATTGTTTTCATTTAACCACAATAGAAAACCTAACTAAGACAAAAAGAGCTTTATACCTTTAAAACAGTCCTCAAAAATTCAGCATAGTCTTAGCAAATTGCTAAACTGAGTGTTAAAAATAATACTCCAACACAGAGACAAGAAAAATTAGCAAGAAACATGACTAACCTTTCCTCCTGACTTTCTACCTCTTTTCTTTGGCAAAACAAATTGAAAAGTAACGCCCTTCGTTGTAGCTGAAGTATTTCCAGTTGGTTTAGTTTTTCCTGATTTCTTGCCGGTCTTTGGTATTGGTAGTACAGGAGTTGTTTTCTGTGGAGACTTGTTTTTCGGAGATTGAGCCCCTTTGGAGGTGGAAGACTTTGCTTTCGCAGAGGTAGGAGATTTTGTTTGTTTACAAGAGGAAGGCGGTGTGTTCTCTGCACTCTTGACTGAAAGAGCTGAGAAAAGAGCTTAGCAACAGAAATTAAAGGAAATGTAAAACACTATCATATACTGAGAAAAGTTTAAGCTTATCTTTAAAACTTTCCAAAGGGTACTCATTGAAATTATTTTAAACAAGATCCAAATAAGCAAAACTAGAGATGAAAATGAAGACATTAAAATAGACACTAAGAAAATCAAGATAACCATAAAAGAATACTTTTAAAAAAATTTGTATTCCACTAAACTGGAAAACCTAAAGGAAATAAATTTCATAAGATATACAATCTATAAGTTAAATCAAGATAAAGTAAATGTAATTTAAATAGATTCATAACCCCTAGTAAGATAGAAGCAGTAACTAAAAATCTCCCAACTACAAAAAGTCCATGGACAGATGGTTCAACATATAATCATACCAGGTATTAAAAAGAGAATTAATGACATTAGTCTTCAATTATTCTAAAAAAAAACTCTGAAGAAACATCCCTAAATTCTTCATATAAGGCCAACATTACCCTGATACCAAAATCACACAATGACTCAAAAAAATAAAAAAAGACAGATATCCATTATGAATATAAATAAAAATTCAATAAAATATTATAAAACAAACTCAAGAATACATCAAAATATTATCCACCATTAAGTAAGTTTCATATCAGAGACGCAGGAATGATTTAACGTATATGAATCAATAAATATAAATCACCACATAAATAGACCAAAGGACAGAAACCATATGATCATCTCAAAAAGATACAGAAAAGGTCTTTGATAAAATTCAACATTGCTGATAAAAGTCCTGAAGAGACCGAGAATATGTGAGACATATCTCAACATAATAAAGGCAATTTATAACAAGCTTACACATCAACATTCCTTCTAAATGGTGAAAATTAAAAATAAAAAATCAACAAAAACCATTTCCACAAAACTCAAGTCCAAATGGATTGAAGACCTCAACATAAAGTCAGCCATACTGAACCTTATAGAAGAGAAAGTGGAAAGAAAGTACATTTGAATGCATGGGCACAGGAGACCACTTCCTGAATATAAACTCAGCAGCACAGACACTGAGAGAAACAATTAATAAATGGGACTTCCTGAAATTGAAAAGCTTCTGTAAAGCAAAGGACACGGTCAACAGAATGGGAAAGGATCTTCACTGACCCCACTTCAGACAGAGGTCTGATCTCCAAAATACAGGCTCCAATGCTACAGAGAAACCCTGTCTCGAAAAAAAAAAAAATTCTTTTTTCTTTGGAGTAACCAACCAATTTTCGGCTGGATCCAAGGCCCCATGTTAAGGAACCCAAACTGATACTGGCAATGAGGGGAAAAATACTGTGACAAGATAGCCCAAATGTCACAGGAGAAATCTTACTAGTATAATTCTGATAAGTGTGATAAGTGATCATAGAAATAAAATGACTCCTAAATGACACAGTGTTATTGATTAGCAACGATCACTAATCATTTATTGGTGATGCACTCAACCCTCTTCAGAGAAGCTTCTTGTAGTGGTTGGTAATTATCAAAAAGACCCACAAGTGGACCACCTGAAGAGAGTGAGACGCCTTGGAACGCTCAACCCTAAATGATATGTCTGTATCACTCCCATCCCCGTCAATGGTCAGTTATCTATGTGGAAAAACAGGCAGAAAGATTCTAACCAGTGGGGCAAAGGGATTTTGATGAGAGGGTATTTTCCAGAAACAACAGAGAAGACACACATCCAAACTTGAAAAGAACATGGCGAAAAGCAAAGGACATACACAAGCTCAAGTCAGAAAAATATTCCAGCATGTATGAGGTGAAGTACATACGAAGTCTCAGCCTTTAGCTAAGAATCTATATTCAAAATTGATAGCTGCTGTAAAAGAAAAACGTTTTCTTCAATAGAATGACATGGTACATATGAGCCACTCTAGGGCAGGCACAATATGAAGTAACATGGGAACACAAATTAGAAACCTATTTTTAAAGTTTACCTTTTGTTAAGAAAGAGAAGGAACTTAATATCATATACAAAGCAAGGTGAGGAAAGACACTGGAAGAGTTGGAGGAAGGTACACAGTAAGATCAAAATATAAGGCATAAATTTTTTAACAATGAATAAAATCATTAAAAAAATAAGACACTGATTGAACAAGAATGTCAGTCAAAATGAAATTTTAGGTACATTAGATTATAATAATCAGGAAACAATTTAATTATCTAAAGAAGAAAAATTTATTAGGATAACCAATAAATTTGATTTAGCACATTGAAAATGATACAAATCTATCATTGTGCTATTTCTTGTACTAGATTTCTTTCCTTCTTGAAGGAAGATGCTATTATTTAATATTGAGGAAGCATCTTATCAGTAAATATAGAAAAAAATAAGGCAAAGCAGTCACCTGGAATTGCTTCTTCATCTTCCAAAAGTTTGACTTGGTTTTCCCAAAATTTACTGACTCTCTTGTTCTTGCGTTTTTTCTTAGCTTCATTGAGATATGAAAGAAAAAACAAAAATTATGTACACTTAAAGCTGGAACACATTATGTTCCAGTCTGCATGTTAAATAATGAGGCATCTAATGCACCATAGTCACAAATCTTATCACAGTGAAAATTTCTATGAATTTATCTTTGTGGTATTTATACTTGTTTCCTTAAAAGTGAAAAACAGTTTTGTCTTCTAAAAACATTGCAACATTATTAAATATATGATAAACATTTTGTGACTCAACATGGATTTAATAAACCAAAGCAATCACCTTGGACGGTTTCTTCATATTCAAAACGTCTTGCTTGGTCTTTCCGAGGTTTGGCGACTATCTTGCGTCTTTTCTCAGCTTTGTTGAGTTATGAAATGAAAAGCAACTATTATGTATACTTAAAGCTGGGATACATTACATTCCAGTGTGCATGCTAAACAATAAAAGCTTCTAATGCAGAATAGTCATGAATGAAATGTTATCATCATACTCACATGACATTTAACAATGCACAACATGGCACAGTTGTACAGTAGTGGCTTGCATACCTTGGCAGTAACCAAATACTCTTTACTTGGACTTAAGATTCACTCAACAGGAGGGAAACCATGACTGGTACTGGAAACCCAGGTAAAAATTCTGCGCTAGAGAACTAATGGTTATTGGAGGATAATATGCACCCACTAATTTAACTGAACCAGCATAGTCCCCAACAACTATCTCTAAACATTTCTCTTCACACCCACAGTAGTCTTCATTCTTCATCAAGAAAACTTGTTTGCCACAGACAGAGACCATTATAACAAACCAAAACTAATCAAAACAAAGAGTGGTGGAGTCCAATCAGAATGTATACCTTTACAGAATATTTCTGCACATTGTCAAAAAGGAGGTAGAAAGACTGCAAAAAGCCAGAGGGTGAGGAGTTTGCTCTAAAACTGTATCTCCTAGTAATATCAGGAGAAATACACATAAAATCTCATGAACATCATTGCTCATACATGAGATGAATAAGAATGACATTAATACAGAGAACTAGCTCATGAAGCCTCAATCACATAGAAAAGAACTATAGAAAACTGAAGAAAATGGGGAGCAGGAGAGATGGGAAACCCCAGAAAGAAGTACACAATCTGGTGTGAAAAAGTCAGCCATAAAAACAGAATACAGTTACTATTATACAGACAGAACAAGTTATATTCAGGACGATATGTATACATAGATATTTTTTAATGCAAGCATTAACAATTATTAAAAGAGGAGGCCACACATTTGGCAGAGAGATGAAGGCATATGGGAGGTTTGGAGGAAAATGGGGAAAGGAGAAAGGTTAGAGTTTAATTATTAACTGAAAAAAGAAAATGTTCTCTCTTAAAACATGAAAAAAACTATAATCAGAAAAAATTAATCTTTCAAAGTGATGAACTTACTATAATAGAAGACAAATTTGACTTATCATACTCAAAATTTCTATGAATATTTTATCATGCTACTTCTTATATTTGTTTTCCTAAAAGTAAAAAGCAGTTTTTCCTTCTAAAAACATTACACCATCATTCAATATATTGCAGACATGATAATAAATATAGATTAAAAATCATCAAAAAAAAAAAACAAAGCAATCACCTGGAGCAGCTCCTTCATATTCAAAACGTCTTGTTTGGTCTTTCCGAGGTTTGGTGACTGTCTTGCCCTTGCGTTCTTTCTCACCTTTGTTGAAATATGAAAATAAAAATGAAAATTATGCACATTTAAAGGCACAACACATTATGTTTAATCCACTATGTTTACCAAATAACAAAGCTTCTAATACTGAAGCACATGTTCTAATATCGCCTTGTCATAAAGAAGCCTACCATCAGGCCCACATCATGTATAACAATGCACATCATAGAATGATAACTCTAAGTATGTAGCTGTGGAACACATATCTTCTCTATAACCAACAGCACTTTACTTGGAAATAAGACTCGTTAAAAAAGAGAGAGTACATGCCTGGTAACAGAAACCCAGCTAAAAACTCTGGGCTGGTCAAATGATGGTTATCAGAGAAGAACCTACAACTCAATTACTAAAACAACATAATCCCTAACAGTAATCTATAAACAGTTTTCTTATGCCTTAAGATAACTGTAGTCTTTACTCTTTATTAAGGGAACTTTTGTTTGCAACAGACAGAGACCATCAAAGAAAACCACAACCAATAAAAGCAAACAGTGGAAGAGGCCAATCAGAATGGATATCTACAGAACGATCCTGCACATAAGGTACTGCTCAGGGAACGCTGCTCAAAAGAGTGTAGAAAGATCTTAAGAGCCATAGGGTGAGGGAGTTTAAGACTGCATCTTCTAGTAATAGCAGGAGAAATTACTATCAAACATGAGTTGAACAAGAATGACAATACATATAAAAACTGAACAGAGAAAAAGCCCATGGTCTAAATCCCAAAGAAAAGAACGACAGAAAATGGAAGATACGGGAGAGGTGGGAATCCCCAGGGAAGAACATACTAATTCACTCTCAGGCATAAAAAGATAGCCACGAAAACAAAAATACAGGTATTATTAAATAGACTAAAGAAGTTATATTCAGGGTTATACATGTATGTAGATATTCTTGAATGCAAGCACTAAATACTAAGCGAGGAAAAAAGTCATATATTTGGCAGGGAGAATGGGAGGTATACAGGAAATTTGGGAGGAGGACCAGATAGGGAAAAAGGTTGAAATGAAACTATAATTTCAAAATAAAAGATATTTTTCTCTTTGAAAACATGAAGAAAATTATAATCAGGATACAATCTAATTCTCAAAAAGGATGAACTTATTTTAACCAATATGACCACTCACAGTGAAAATTTCTATGAATTTATTATTGTGATACTTCTATTTTTTTACAAAAAGTAAAAAAAATCTTTTAAAAACATTATTCCATGCAATATATGGCAAACACCTTCTGAATACATGTAGTAATTATATATAAATATAGATTTGTGTTTATGTATGTATATACATTATACAATGACTATGTTTATGTGTATAGATGCATGATCATGATATATAATGACATTATATTTATGTTCACAATGTGGTTAAATATATTTAAATATTTATATTTATTCATATATATAATTACTTTTTGTGTATGATTGATGCTTATAAAATATACATATACAAATGTATATACAAAATGTATATGTATATATATTAAAAACAATCACCTGGAGCAGCTTCTTCATATTCAAAAAGTCCAGCTTGGTCTTTCCATGGTTTGGTGACTGTCTTGTCCTTGGGTTTTTTTTCAACTTTATTGAGATACGAAATGAAACACAACGATTAAGTATATTTAAAGCTATAACATGTTATGTTTAATCCACTATGTTTTCCAAATAGTAAAGCTTCCAATACTAATACATATGCTCTAATATACCCTTGTCATGAAGAAGTCTACAACATGCTCATGCTACATGTAACAATGTCCATCATGGCATGATAACTCTAAGTATGCAGCTGTGGAACATGTACTTTCTTTGTGATCAAGAGCTCTTTACTTTTACAAGAGAGAGAGAGCATGCCTGGTAATGAAAACCCAGCTAAAAAAGACTGTGCTAATCAAGTGATGATTATTGGTGAAGAAATTTTACAACTACTAACTTACTAAAACAGCATAATCCCTAACAACACTCTAAAACCTTGTTCTTATACATGAAGATAACTGTAGTCTTTAGTCTTCATGAAGGAAACCTTGGTTTGCAATAGCTAGAGACCATTAAGTCAATATAGATTTAAAGCAAAACAAAGCAAAGCAATCACCTGGACCTGCTTCTTCATATTCAAAAGGTCCAGTTTGGTCTGTCCATGGTTTGGTGACGTTTTTGCCCTTGCGTTTTTTCTCAGCTTTATTGAGGTATGAAATGAAAAACAAAGATTATGTATACTGAATCCAAAACACATTATGTTCAATACACGATGTCTAAATAATAAAGCTTTCAATACTAATATATATGCTCTAATACAGCCTTGTATTGGGCTACCATCATGCTCCAGTGATATGTAACAGTGCCCATTATAGCATGATAACTCCTAAGTATGTAGCGTTGGAACACAGACTTCTTTGTAACCAGATGATCATAATTAGACTTAAGACTCCTTGACAAGAGGGAGAGATTACCTATAAAGGAAACCCAACTAAAAATTTAGTGCTGGTGAAATTATATTTATTGGAGAAGAATCTACAACCACTAATATACTAAAACAGCATAATCTCTAACAACAATCTATATTGTTCTTATACCTGAAGATAACTGTAGTTTTTATTCTTCATCAAGAAAACTTTGGTTTCAAATGGCAAGAGGTTATTGCACAAATCCACAAGCAATCAAATCAGAGAGTGGTGAAGCACAATCAGAGTGGACACATCTACATAACACACCTGTACATAAGGTAAGGCCCGGGGAACACAACCCAAGATGGGGGACTGAAAGATCTCCAGAGTCAGAGAGTGGGAGAGTATGTTCTACGGCTGTGTCTCCTAGTAATATCAGGAGAAACATACATAAAACCTGACAAACATCACTGCTCAAACATAAGTCGAACAAGAATGGCACCAATACCTATACAATCTGGACATATGGCTTCAACCCTACTCAAAACACAATAGAAAACTGAAGGAAATGGACAAAAGAAGATGTGGAAATTCCCAGGACAGAATATACTAATTTACTGTGTGGTTTCAAAAATCCAGCCATGAAACATATATTATTATACAGATTGCACAAGTTATATTTAGGAGTGTGTATGTGCATTTACATAAACATTCCTGTTTTTATTTTTTATTTCGGTGTTGTTTGGTTGGTTGGTTTTGTGAGACAGGGTTTCTCTGTAGCTTTGGAGCCTGTCCTGGAACTAGCTCTTATAAACCAGGCTGACTTTGAACTCACAGAAATCTGCCTACCTCTGCCCCCCAAGTGCTGAGATTAAAGGCATGTGCCACTACTGCCCAGATTTACATAGACATTCTTAAATACAATCATTAACAATTAGTATGAAAAGAGGCCATGATTTTGGCATAGAGAGAGAGTTGAAATGAGAGGTTCTGCATGGAGGAAAGGGTATGGAGAAATGTTGAAATTAAATGATAATTTCATAAAAAATGAGATCAATCTCATTGAAAACAGGAAATGAATCTGTAATCAAGGAGGAATCTAACTCTCTGAAAAGATGAATTTATTATACTAAGAGAAGGATTTGGTATATCACAATGAAAATTTGTATGAATTCATCACTGTGGTACTTATACTTGTTTCCTCTAAAATGAAAAAGAGTCTTGTCTTCTAAAAACATTACACCATTATTCAATATCTGGCAAACATGATATGAATCAATGTAGATCAAAACAAAGCAAACATCTGGGGCTGTTCCTTCATATTCAAGAAGTCCAGTTTGGTTTTTCCATGGTTTGGTGACTGTTTTGCCCTTGATTTTTTTCTCAGCTTTATTTAGATATGAAATGAAAAATGATGATTATGTACATTGAAAGCTAGGATACATTATGTTTAATCTACTATGTTTTCTAAAACAATAAAGTTTCTAATATTAAAGCATATGCTCTGACTTAGCCTTTTCCTAAAGAAGGCAGCCATCATGCTCACGTGATTTGTAACAATGCTCATCAGGGCATGATAACTCCAAGTACGTAGCATTAGAACACATTATCTTCTTTGTAACCAGAAGCCCTTAATTAGACTTAAGCCTTCCTCAACAAGAGGAAGAGCATGCTTGGTAATGAAAACCTAGCTAAAAACCTTGTGCTGATCAAATGATGATTATTGGTGAGGAAATCTACAACTACTAATTTACTAATACAGCATAATCCTTAACAATAATCTACAAACATTGTTCTTATACCTGAAGATAATTGTAGTATTTACTCTTTGTCAAGAAAACTTTGGTTTGGAACAGCCAGAGACTATTACAGAATTCTACAGCCAACCAGAGAGCGGCAGAGCCCAATCAGATCAAATATATCTTACCTCTCCTGAACATAAGGCTCAAAGAACACTCCCCAACTTAGGGGCTGAAAGATCGTCAGAGTCAGAAGGTGAGGGAATTTGCCCTAGGCTAAATTTCCTACAAATATGAGGAGAAACACACATAGAACCTCACAAACATCCTTGTCCACACATCATCTGAACAACAATGGCACCAATACATACACAAACTGGACAGAGAAAAGTCTACGAGGCTTCAACCCTACTCAAAGTGAAGGAAAACTGAGAATAGGAGAGGTGGCAATACCCAGGGAAGGAAGAATACACTAATTCAGAGTCTGGTACCAGAAAGCCAGTTATGAAAATACATATATAAGTATTAGTATTAGTACACAGACTGAGCAGGCTATTTTTTGAATTTCTCTCTCTCTCTCCCTCTCTCTCTCTCTCTCTCTCTCTCTCTGCTGTGTGTGTGTGTGTGTGTGTGTGCGTGTGTGCATGTGTGCATGTGTGTACACAGAGGTATTTTTCAATACAAGCACTAACAATTAATGTGAAAAGAGACCGTGAATTCTGGCATAGAGTAGGTGGTTGAAACAGAAGATTTTGGAGGGAAGAAAGGGTAAGGAGAAAGATTGAAACTTAGTGATAATTTCACAAACAGTGAGAACAGTCTCCTTGAAAACATGAAAAGAATCTGTAATCAGAAAGCAATCTAATTCTTCAAAATGATGAACCTATTATAATAAGAGAAAATTTGACTTGTCAAAGTGAAAATTCCTGACTTTATAATTGTGATACTTACACTTGTTTATTTAAAAGTTAAATAGTCTTGCCTTCTAAAACCATCACACCATTATTCAATATACAGAAAATATTATGTGAATAAATATAGATAAAAACAAATCAAAATAATCACCTGGGCCTGTTTCTTCATATTCAAAATGTCCAGCTTGGTCTGTCCATGGTTTGGTGACTTTTTTGCCCTTGTGTTTCTTCTCAGCTTTATTGAGGTATGAAACAAAAACCAGATTATATACATTGAAAGCTAGAATACATTATGTTTAATGTACTACTTTTCCAATTAATAAAGCTTCTAATACTAATGTATATGCTCTACTATTGCCTTGTTATAAAGGCTACCATTATGTTCATGTGATGTATGTCAATGCCCATCATGACATGATAGCTCTAAGTATGCTGTAGTGCTACACATACTTTCTTTGTAACTAAGAACTCTTAACTGGACTTAACTTGCTCAAAAAGAGGGTTAGCCTGGTAATGGAAACCCAGCCAAAAACTGCGTGATTTTCAAATGATGATTATTGGAGAAGAATTTACAACCATTAACTTAGTAAAAGCATAATCCCTAACGAAAATCTATAAACATTATTCTTATACCTGAAGATAACTGTTGCCTTACACTTCATCAAGAAAACTTTGATTTCAAACAGCAAGAGGCTATTACAGAAATCCACAAGCAATCAAAGCAGAAAGTGGTGGAAACCAATCAGAATGGCTACATCTACAGAGCACTCCTGCACATAAGATAAAGCTCAGGGAACACTATGCAAGAGAGGGTTGAAAGATCATCAGAGCCAGAGCATGAAGGAATTTGCTCTAACACTGTATATCCTAGCAATATCAGGAAAAACCACACATAAGACCTCACATGATATAGGAGAGTCAATTTTGTTATATGTATATGTATTTCTGATCTTGATTAAGGTATTGTGATTGTATAGTTCATTTTAAAATGTAATGTATAATTAGGAAATATAGGTTGTCAATGGATAATCATCGATAATAGTCAAGCTTTTAGTCATTTTAGTTAGATTTTCTAGATATATAGAGATATATTTCAGTAAGATAGGCATTCTTCATATCTTTCAAAGACTACAGAATATGGCATTTAATGTTTTAATAACTTAGGGCTTTTCATGACAATGAGACATGTCTGCTTCTGACAACACCAATCTACTTCAAGAAGAAGATGGGCATCAAAGAGGCTCCTTATGGAGTTTTATAGCCATTTGGGCAAGAAACTGCTCTTGCCTGGACTGTTGCATAAACTGGACGTAAAGAACCCACAGAGAGAGGAGTGCTAAACTTGTCTAAAGGTGAGATGGTCTTTCGGGGTTCCTGATTCATAAAAGAGTCTGCGAGACATTCTGCAGGACACAAAAGAAAGTGACTGAACTGTCTTTAAAATTTCCTGCTTCATGAAAATGTCTGCTGGATACTATGGGCCTGTAGGTCAAAGATGGATGCCCCAACTGTACAAAAGAACTTTGGGTGACTGTCTAGACAGCGAGATGTCTCTGTCATTTCTAGAATTTGGAAGTTGCTTATTTCTTGCTTAATTAGGTAATATTATATCCTTCTGGAGTCTTTGATGGAGTTGAAGAATAAATAGGTAATTATAGTTTTCCTTAGTTATAATAAAAGATAAAATAGATATAAATATTATAACTGTAATTCTTGCTTTATAACTGTTTTATTATATGCAATTTTGCTATGTTAAAGTTAAAGCCTTCCTTTTTGTTTAAACAGATAAAGGGGAAATGATATAGGAGAGTCTTCTGTATTTCTGTTGCTTTCATTGGCTAATTAATAAAGAAAACTGCTTGGCCTGATAGGTCAGAATATAGGTAGACGGGGAAGACAGAACAGAATGCTGGGAGAAAGAAACAGAGTCAGGCAGTTGCCATAACTCTCCGAGAAGGACACAGATTAGGATCTTTCCTGGTAAGCCACCACCTCGTGGTGCTACACAGATTACTAAATATGGGTTAAAGCAAGATGTGAAAATTAGCCAATAAGAGGCTGGAGTAAATGGACCAGGCAATGTTTAAAAGAATACAGTTTCTGTGTAATTATTTCGGGGATAAGCTAGCCAGGATCCAGGCGGGAACGCAGCCCGCCATTCCCTCCCACTACACTCACAAACATCCCTGTCCATACATCAGCTGAACAAGAATGGTACCAATACATACACAAACTGGACAGAGAATAGTCCATGAGGATTGAACCCTACACAAAAGACAACAGAAAACTGAAGGAAACTGGTAAGAGGAAAGTTGGAACTACCCAGTGAAGAAAATACTGAATCACTGCCTGGTGTCAAAAAGCCAGTCATGAAAAAAAAAATATATATATAGGTATTATGCAGATTCGAAGAGGTTACATTTATGAACGTGTGTGCATGTGTGTGTTTGTGTGTGTACACATAGATGTTCTTAAATACAATCACTAAGAATTACTGTGAAAAGAAGTCATAAATTATGGCACAGAGAAGGTGGTTGAAATTGGAGGTTTTGAAGGGAAGAAAGCATGTGGAAAAAGGTTGCAATTAAATGATAATCTCATAAAAATGATACTTTTTCATGAAAACATGAAAAGAATCTGTAATCAAGAAGCAATCTAATTCTCCAAAAGGATGGAGTTATTATACTGAGACAAATTTAACTTATCACAGTGAAAATTTCTATGAATTTATCATTGTGTTTCTTATATTTGATTACTTAAAAATGAAAAACAGTCTTGCCTTCTAAAAACATTACACCATTATTCAATATTTGGCAAACATCACATGAATCAATATAGATAAGAACAAAACAAAAAAAGCAATCACCTGGTGCTGCTGATTCTTCATACTCAAAAAGTCCAGCTTGGTCTTTCCATGGTTTGGTTACTCTCTTGCCCTTGGGTTTTGTCTCATCTTATTGAGGTATGAAATGAAAAACAAAGATTATGTACATTTAAAACTAGAACATCTAGTAACTGATGAAAAAATCCTTACCAGTTGGGCCTGCCAGAAACTTAGAAAGCATTTCAACATTTATGGTAGTCTAGTGAATTTTTGAGTTTGTTATAATGCTTACATCTCTTCCAGATGTGTAGTAGGTCATGTAACTTTTTGTTAAAGTCCAGACATGATATACTGGTTGAAAGGAACTCTGATAAAAAAGCATTCAGTGACATGATGCATGAAGGGAGGGAAAATGCTACATTCTTCCACAGCAAAAACATGTTATGTTTAATCCACTATGGTTTCTAAATAATAAATCTTCCAATACTAAAGCATATGCTCTTATATAGTATTGTAGTAAAAAAGGCTACTACCACATTGCCCATCATGGCATGATAAATCAAATTATGTAGAATCAAAACACATACCTTCTTTGTAATCAATAGCACTTTAACTTGCAACAAGAGGGAGCGCATGCCTGGTAATAAAAACCCGGCTAAAAACTCTATGCTGGTAAAATGATATGATGATTAAGAAGAAATCTACAACCACCAACTTACTAATATAGCAAAATTCCTAAGAAAAATCTATAAACATTGTTCTTATACCCAAAGATAAGTATGGCCTTACTCCTCATCAAGAAAACTCTGGTTTAAAAAACTCCAAGACCCTTACAGAAATCCACAATCAATCAAAGCAGAGAGTGAGTAGTGGAGCACAATCAGGGTGGATACAGGTACAGAACACGCCTGCACCTGAGATAAGACGCAGGGACCACTATCCAAGAAGGGCCTGATAGTTCATCAGAGCAGAAGGTGAGTTAATTTGCTCTATGACTGTGTCTCTTAGTAATATCAGGAGAAACAAATGTAAAAGCTGACAAACATCACTGTCCAAAGTGAAGAAGAGTAGCACCAATACAAATATAAACTAGGCAGAGAAAAGTCCATGAGGCTTCAACCCTACTCAAAAGATGATAGAAAACTGAAGGAAACAATCAACAGGAGGTGTGGGAATACCCAGAAAGAATACATCAAATCACTGGTACCAAAAAGCCAGCCAAGAAACCATATATACAGGTATTATTATACAGAATTAGCAGGTTATATTTAAGAATATGTGTGTTTGTATGAGTACACAAGACGTTCTAAAATACAATCACTAAGAATTACTGTAAAAAGAGGTCATGAATTATGGCACAGAGAAGGTGGTTAAAATGAGAAGTTTTCAAGGGAGGAATGGGTATGGAGAAAGGTTGTAATTAAATGATAATCTCAATAAATCTGTATTCAAGAAGCAATCTAATTCTCCAAAAGAATGAATTTCTTATACTAAGAAACAATTTTGACTTATAACATTGAAAATTCCTAAAAATTTATGATTTGGTACTTACATTTGTTTATTTAAAGGTAAAAACAGTCTTACCTCCTAAAATCATTATATCATTATTAAATATATGGCAAACATTATATGAAACAATATAGGTAAAAACAGAACAATCACCTGGAGCTGTTTCTTCATACTCAAAAAGTTCGGTTTGGTCTTTCCATGGTTTGGTGACTGTCTTGCCCTTGGGCTTTTTCTTAGCTTTATTTAAATATAAAATGGAACATAAATAACACATACATTGAGAGCTAGAACACATCATGTTTAATCCACTATGCTTGCCAAATAATAAAACATCTAATGGTAATGCATACGTTCTAAAGAAGGCTACCATCAAGCTCACTTGAAATGTAACAATGTCCTTCATGGTATGACAACTCTAAGTATAGAGCAGTGGCATGCATACCTTCTTTGTAATCGACAGCTCTTTAGTTGGACTTAAGACTCGTTCAACAACAGGGCAAGAATGCCTGGTACCGGAAAGTCAGTAAAAACTCTGTGCTTGGTGAAATGATTATTAGAAAAGAATCTACAAGCACTGATTTACTAAACAAGATAATCCCTAGCAACAATTCATAAACATTTATCCTCATATCCTAAGACAAAAGTAGTCTGTACTCTTCATTAGGGCAACTTCTCTTGGCAAATCACAAACATCACCACAAATATCCACAACATTTCAAAACCCAGAGACATGGAACTCAATTACAATGAATCCATCTACAAAATACTCCTGCACCTTAGGAAACGCTCAGGGAACACTGTCCAAGAGGCAGTAGAAAGATTTGATGGGTCAGAATATAGGGGAGTTTGCTGTAAGACTGTGTCATTCAGTAATATAAGAAATAGTACCTATAAAGTTTCATCAACATGACTGATCAAACAAGAGCTGAATAAAAGTGATATCTATATGGATGCAAACTGGACAGAGAAAAGTCCACCAGACTGCAACTCTATACAGAAAACATTATACCATTATTGAATATGCAGGAGTCAGGTTGTAAATCAATACACATAATTTTTCTCAGGGTTATTGAGGTATGAAATAAAAATAAAAAATATGTCCACTTAAAGCGAGAAGGTATTATGTTCCATTTAGTGTGTATGCCAAAAACCTTCTACTACAGTATAGTTATGAAAAGGCTGTCCTATTATCATTTGATATGTCATAATGCCCATCATGACATGATAACCCTAAGGATGTATTAATGACACACATACCTTGGCAGTAACCAATAGCACTTTACTTGGACGTAAGACCTACAACTCAACAAGAGGGAGACTATGCCTGCTATTTGAAACCGACATAAAACCTCTGTGCTAGTGAAGTGATTGTTATTGGTGGAGAATCTACAACCACTAATTTGCTAAACCAGCATAATTTCTAACGAAAATCTATAAACATTTGCCTTTACACCTACAGATTATTTTTGTGTTCACTACTCATATGCCAAACTGGAAAGAGCAAAGTCCACAATGTGCCAACTCTATACAGTGAACTATCAGCAACCGAGGAAAGCTGGAAACTGGAGAAGTGGCCTTCCTCAAGGAAAAGCACAACAATTAGTTGTCTGGTGCCAAAAAGCCAGCCTTAGAAACATACATACAAGTAGCATTGTACAGACTAGACAGGTTATATTTGGAAATACATTATATATTTATATACACATGGACATATGCATGCAGTATATTTCTCACAATTAGTGAGAAAAGAGGTCATGAATTTGGAGAGCAGGAAAGGTATATGGTAGAGTTTGGAGGGAGGTTAAAGGAAGGGAGAAAGGTTAGACTTAAATTATAATTGGAACAAAGAATTTTCTTTTTTAAAAACCAAAGGAGTTTATAATCAGAAAACCATCTAATTCTCAAAAGGATGAGTTTCTTAGAATAATTATCTAATTTAAATTATCACAGTGATAATCTCTATAAAATTATCATTTTTTAAAAATTTGTTTTCTTTTCTTTTAAAAATTTTTTTGAGACAGGGTTTCTCTGTTTAATAGTCCTAGCAGTCCTGGAACTCACTTTGTAGACCAGGCTGGCCTTGAACTCACAGAGATCCACCTGCCCCTGCCTCCCGAATGTAGGGATTAAAGGTATGTGCCACCAATGCCCGGCTAAAATTTGTTTTATTAAAATGAAAAAGTCTTTCCTTCTGAAAACACTACATCATTATTCACTCAGTACACAGGAATCATCTTGTAAGTCAATACAGACAGATAAAGCAACACAATCACCTGGGGCTTCTGCTTCATCTTCAAAAGGTGTGGCCTGTTCTTTCCAAGGTTTGGTGACTCTCTTGCACTTTGATTTACTCTCAACTTTGTTATGTTATGAAATGAAAGACAAATTTTATGTACATTTAAAGCTAGATCACATTATTTTGAATAGGTATGGCAAATTATAAAGGTTCTACTCATAATGTAGACTCTCTAAGACAGTGTTGTCTTGAAAAGACTCAGATGCTATACAGATTCAGAAAATGCTCATGATATTGATATGCAGCTTCTAGCTACCTGGCAGCCCAATTTAGGCCATTTTAATACTTTGGATGAAGACTGATTGCCAGGCTAATTTTGATTATGTTACCAGCAATAAATAAATAAATAACCAAATAAACAAATGAGATAGTTCAGTATCAACACCTTAACAACTTAATAATGTTTATATACTAAAATTCACTTTTTCTAAATAAACAAGCTTTTGAGGGAGAGATATGAAACTATAAACATATTCAAAGCTCAACTACATTTACTTGGAGTTTTACTTCACAAACTTAAAGAGTAGTCAGTCTATTGCTTTACTTTTTCCATACTTAAAGATGATATAATATGCATACAATAAACTTTTGATAACAAGTATCAAATTTTTCTGCAACTTTGGCATCCTACTTTGACTTTTCACCAAAAAGGGGACAGTCGAGTCCTTTACCCAGCTGCAGAGAAGGCAAAATGTGACTGCCTCACTGAAAAAGGCACCAAGCCATGTGGCTAACATATACTAGAATAATGGGTTAATATAAGATTTAAGAGTTACTACGAAGCCTGAGCTAATGGGCCAATCAGTTTATCACTAATGTAGACCTCTGTGTGATTTCTTTAGGACTTACTGACTGTGGGAACTGGGCAGGACAGAAATCCTGACAACAGAATGGTGCCCAACGTGTGAACAACTGCATCCACATAAAGCCCGAGAGAGCTTAAAAAGTAATACTAGACAAAAAATAGTAAGAGTAAAGCATGGTTTATTAATAGCAACATTTTCTCTAGTGGGCTCTGCTTGCTAGAGGTAAGCGCTCTCATTTAAAAGAGGCTTCCTGACTCAGTATTAGCTGCAAAACCCTGCAGCTCTTTTAAGAGGTCCTGCCATGAAACACTTAAATGGTGTTGATGAAAAGCTGACTGCATGCTTTTTGGTTTTCATTCATACCAGGAAAAAAGCCAATCCATTTTAAAATGCCAGCTTTCTGGGCCATCCTGCCAGTGCAAAATCTGACACTTTCAGGCAGGAGGTCCAGCTACAGAGCATTTGAATGTGGTTTGTGAGCAGACAGCTGGAGCTTGATTGGTGGCAGGGAACTTGAAATGCCATAGAGTCGTGGCAATAAACATGGCTCCGGTTGTACCTCTGCCATGAGGCTGAAATCTCAGAAAGCTAAGGAATGGGCTAGATCCAGCCATCAAAGCCACGGCTTTAATTCTCTCCATACTGCTTCACATATTAAAGACTCATGTGACCAGAAAAAGAGAGATATACAGTAAAGATAGATTCAAAGACAAAGCAAACCTGTAAATGGTTCATAGTGTGTTTAAAAAATGTATACAGGCTTGGGAGAGAAAAGAAAAAGGTTAAAGCCCTTAAAATAAAACAAAAAGAGTAGTTGGGAGTGGTGGCACACACCTTTAATCCCAACGCTTGGGAGGCAGAGGCAGGGAGATCTTTGTGAGTTCAAAAACAGTCTGGTCTACAGAGGGAGTTCCAGGACAGCCAAAGATACACAGAGAACCTGTCTCAAAAAGCCAAAAATTAAAAGTAAAAATAAAAGAAATAGAGGTTGAAATAAAGCCATGTAAAGAAGAAAAACACTCAGAGAGTATAGATACTGTATATTATTATGCTGTCTTTGAATTGCTTGACAGCTGAGGAAGGAACAATAGCTGATAAAATACATTAAATATAAATGCTGCTGGATTAATAAAACATAAATATTTTGAAAATACCTTGACTTCAAAATTGAAGTCAAAAGGTATGCTACTTTGGAGAAGAGGTTTTGCTTTTGTTTCTGCAGGAAATGAGAAGCTGTGGATTCATTCTGAGTTAAGAAAAATCAGGTTTGATCAAGGAAGACCACTTGAGAACTATCCAGAAGGAACAGATCACCCAGATGTCTGAGTTCTTCATCCAGAACTGAGTCAAGACTGTTGCCAGAAATGATGAAGCTTCACCGGATACTCCAGTCATTACTTGATCATAATTATAAATTTTCATTAGGTCCCCATAAGATTATCAGTGCCCCCAACCAGCAGGAAGTAGCCTGGAAAACTACACTCTCATTCCCAAAAATGGACTATGAATATTTTCCTTTGTTTAGAATGTTGGTTATAAGTTGTTATGGATAATGGTCAGGAGAAAAGCTAAACAAAGGATATTAGATTCAGAGTTCTTGTTTTTTTTTTAAAAAAAAAAAGAAAGAGGGGAAAGTGGTGTGGGACAATCGTCTATATTCTATCAATTATATTTTAAATAAACACTGACTGGCCAGTAGCCAGGCAGGAAGTATAGGCAGGACAACCAGACAGGAAGTAGAGGCGGGTCGATTAGAACAGGGGAATTCTGGGACGAGGATGCAGTCCTTTACCCAGCCACAGAGGAAGCAAGATGTGACTGCCTCACTGAAAAAGGAACCAAGCCATGTGGCTAACATATACTAGAATAATGGGTTAATATAAGTTATAAGAGTTAATAACAAGCCTGAGATAATGGGTCAAACATTTAATAACTAAAAAGGGGGAGGAGCAGTCTATACTCTGCTGCCATGGTAAATGTAACGTCCTTTTACTGCCACTATAACTTTCCCTCTCATTTATAACTAGTTCACCTATTTATAACCAGCTTCATCTTATTTCATTTTAAACAACTACTGCCCACTTCAGACTTATGATTTCTTGGTTACATTCTATACCATAACACCAAGAATCTTAAGTTAGTTTTAATCTGCTGAACATACCATAGATGTATGTCATGCCCCAATGAGAAACGTAGCTGATGCTCAACAGGAAGCCTCAGTCCTATTCCCTATGGTTTATATTCCTAAGCAGTGCTATAAACATTACCACAGAAGAAAAGTAATCAAAGGACAGGTCTATTATCTCTGTGAGCTACAAAAACCAGCTTTCTCTAAGACATGCCTACTGGTACAATAATAGCACAAATGTTATAGGGCTAACAAAGTACTTTTTGATTGAATTTAAGGTCCACTCCATGAGATGTAACTTATACCCAATACTGTTAATGAGTCCAAGAACCTGTGACAAGAAGTCACATTTCAAAGGAGAAATCCTATTACCAAGGTTCTTCTAACTGGGTACAGCAATAAAACAACTCCTAATGACATATTGCTATACTCATTAATTATCACTCAGACATGATCACAGAAGCTTCTTTAAGTGTATAGTAATTAGCAAAGACACCTACAACTGAACAACAATCAGAGAATGAGAGATTTTGGAGAGCACAACCTTAAAAAGGATGTCTGTATCACATCCTTCCCCTTAAGGCTCAGAAAACTATGTGGAAAAGCAGGCAGAAAGATTCTAGGCAGGGGTAGAAAAGCAATTCTCCCAGATAACATTTTTCAGAAACAACACATGAACATAAGGACTCAGAAAGACTAACAAAATGCATATGTCTTATATAAGCTCAAGTTTCACAAATCAGCAGCATGGAGGAGGGGAAATGATCACAATTCCCAGCTCTAGCCAAGAATTCATAACTGCTAGAAAAGGGAAAATCAGTTTTCTTCAATGAAGTAATATTGAGTATATCAACCACATACCAAGGCAGGCCACATGCTCAGTAGTCAGTTAACACAAACCAGACTCCTATTGTGTGTGTGTGTTGGGAGGGGTTCATTTCTTTTCAAGTGAGAAAGAAAATGAAGTGGGCAGATAAAGATGTGGAGCATAATTTGAAAATTAGGGAGGGAAAAGAATATGATCAAATTAAATTTCATGAAATTTTCAAAATAGGAATAAAAGCATTAAACAAAGGAAAATACTTTTAAGCAAAGATGCACCATAAGCAAAGTTTAACATACATTAAAATTTCATATAATTAAGGACTAGTCTAATCTTCACCACCACCACCAAAAAGAAAAAAAAAGCTTTCATGAAAACAACCAGCAAATTTGAACCAGCACAGTGAAAATTTCTAGCAGTTTATCATTTGGCTACTTACTGCTTTTATTTTTTTTTTCTTACTTGTCTTTTTTCCTTTTCTTCTTCTTTTTTTTTTTTTTGATTTTTCAAGACAGGGTTTCTCTGTGTGAAAGTCCTGGCTGTACTGGAACTTGCCTTATAGAGCAGGCTGGCCTTAAACTCACTGAGATCTGCCTATTTCTTCCTCCAAGTGCTGGGATTAAAGGCACGTGCCACCACAGCCTGGCTTACATATTTTTTCTTAAAACAGAAAGGAGACTTTCCTTCCCAAAATACTATACCATTCTTAAATATGAAGGAATTATCTTGCAAATCTTTATACAAAACTAAAGCAATCACCTGGGGCTGCTTGGACATCTTTCCCTGGTCTGGCTTCTTCTTCCCAAGGTTTGGTGAATCCTCTGCCCTTGGGCTTTTTCCCAGCTTTGTTGAGGTATGAAATGCAAAATAAAAATGATTTATATTTACAGCTAGAATTCATTATGTTCCTGTATGTATGCCAAACAATAAAGCTTCTTATCATAAAATATAGGTTCTCTTCCTACAATGTCGTCATGAAAAGGTTATCATGATCATATGATACACAGCTTCCAACTGCCTGGTAGCTCAGTTTAGATTATTTTATATTTTCTGTGAAGATAACTACCTGGTTAATTTTGTAAGTGTTTTCGAGTTAAAAAAATAACAGTATCAATGCCTACAAATTTAGGTTATTAAGAAAAATGAATTTTACATAGTGAATATTACTAAGTATAATTTAAAATGCTTTGCAGGTAGATATGAGACATGCATGCATGTACATGCACACACATGCACAAATACTAACATTTTGAGGGCTTTATTTTTTAAGTTGAAACAGTCTACTGCTTTATTTTTTTCATTGCCCAAATATCACAGAGTATGTATAAACAAGATATTGGATAGCAAATATCTCATCTTTCTCCAGCCTTTTTCTTCCACTTCTACTACTCAGCAAAAAAGGACAGAGTCTATCCTCTGTTGTGAGTGTAAATTAAGATCATTTAACTGGCATTATAAATGTATCCATTATTTATAATCAATACACCTATATGCACCAGACTCATTTCATTCTTAGCAATTAGCTTACACTCTAGGTTTAAAACTTCCAGTTTAACAAAACAAAACAAAACAAAAAAACATCTAGTAATATTACTTACATTATTCTTTCTTACACTGTCTTCCTGCCATCAGTTTCAGGATGTTGACCTGGACCAGACCACCTACACCTCATCACATTGACATCATCATTAAAGATTTCAGCAAAGGCCCAGAACTGGTTATTCTAGACAATTTTCTGGATCTATCTCCAAGACTACAGTGTTTTTTGTCTACCTTCAACTCCTTTACTCAGTACCTTTAGTTTTCAAATGATCATGTTTTACACATTCATTGCAAAGTTTATCCATAGTTCTCATAGATTTCTTCTGGTTTTCTCTAATCTTGATACAACTTGTCCTCAACTGTCCACCTCCACCAATACTTCAAAATGAAGTATCTCTTTGTCACCCCAAGCAGTAAGTCAGCTCCTGACTAAGTCACACACTCATTTACTTCCTTCAATAAGAAGCAACAGTATATAGATTAGCAATCTAGTTCTGTAAGGAGCTAAACAGTAAACATTCCGATGATCACATATGGTATCTTTCACATATTCTTCTTTGTCTGACTGCTTAGAAACTAATCAAAGAACATAAAAATCAATTTCATCACATATACTACATAGGCTGTATATTATTCTATGTAAAGTCCAAACTAATTTCTATGGAGGAGTCATTGTTTTACTTGACTTTGAAGTATATATCCAGGCTACAATGTTTCCTTCTGCTTAAGTTTCTACTTCTAGCTTTCTCTGCTCCATTCAGCAAAGCATTCAACCTTCTACTTTATATGAAGACTAAAATTTGTCTTTGTGAATGACCTTAACTATACCGTTACACTATCTTGAAACATTCCTTAGGGCTGAAGAGATGGACAGTTATTAAGAGTGCTTGTGATTGCCCTTCCAGAGGACCACAGTTCATTTCCAATATCTACATCAAATGGCTCAAAACTGCCTGTAGTGTTACTTCCAGAGAAATAATACTCTTCTGTCTTCTTATGACAATGAAATGCATATACAAAAATAAATACAAATCAATTAAAAATAAATCTTCCATGTATAAATATGATGCTAAAAGGTAAAAATTGTGGACAATGAATTCAAAAGTCTAGCTTTAAAAATGATTAATGACTTCAAATTGTTCTCAATTGAACAAACAAATACAGAGAGTTCAGGGCTAAGATGAGAAATTCAGCAACTTGCATACAAAATTCAGTAGACAGAGATTATGAAAAAAGAGCTAAGCAAGGAAAATTTTAATAAATCAAAATTTAAAATTCTGTGAACCACAGGCCCTAGGAAAGGAGATATAGGTTTGAAGGTCCTGAGTATGGAAGGCCTGGCAGAGACTTGAATATCAAACCTCATCTCCTTCAATAGGAATCCCCAGTTGTACATCACATGAATAATGAATAATTACTCTATGAATAATGAAGAAAACCACCTACAAATCAAATGGTCATAAGCAGACCCTTAATGATTTATCCTATAGACCAAACAAACAAACAATTAAACAAACAAACAAAATATATGGATTGAAGGAAATTGGGGATAGGAGCAAAGAGTAGAGGAAGGAATTTGGGGAGGGATGTATAAAGTGAAAAGCATTTCAAAAAAGCCTTGCAGAACCCTTCTAAGTCCTGAATATTAAACATATACACATATAAAAACATTTTAAATGAAGTGACCGTGTACTGGAAGGAAGCCATCACAAACAGACAAGACGTTATAAAATAAAATAAAAAAAAATACGTGCCAGCAATGAGTTGTAAATGTTGGCCAAATTGCTTTACCCCTAACACTATAGGTCAGTGGTTCTCAATCTGTGCCATGACCCACAAAGGAGTTGCATATCAGATATCTTGCATATCAGATACTTACATTACAATTCATAACAGTAGCAAAATAACAGTTATGAAGTAGCAATGAGATAATTTTCTGTTGGCATCACTACAGCATGAGAAATTGTATTAAAGAGTCACAGCAGTAGGAAGGTTGAAAACCACTGCTACAGGACATTGCCAATGATACTGGTTACATTCTAAAACCTGATGGCAAGAATCTCAAAGTACATTTAGTTTCTGAGCATACCACAAATTTTTGTCAAGTTCGTGAGCTGTAATAACCACATGACCAGAAGACATGCTGAATAGCATAACGCTAACACAATGTTATGAGAGTTTACAACCATGTTTTAAATGGATTTAAAGACTACTCCATAAGATAGAGCCAATATCTGACACTGTTAATGATATCAAGAACCTGAGACTAGATAAGTTCTGTGATAAACGGATAATGTAATAAAATGACTCCTAATGACTTACTGTTATACTCACTGATTACTACAACACCCAATTCTTTTCAGAAAAGCTTCTTGCAGTGGATGGTAATTAAGAAACAGACCTACAACCCAACAATCCGCAGAGAATGAGATACTTTGGAGCACTCAACTCTAAATGGGATTTCTATAACACAGCCCTCCCCACTCAAGGTTCAGCTACTGATGTGGAAGAGTAGGCAGAAATATTTTAGCCAGAGGTGGAAAAGAACTTAGACGATTACAGTGCTTTCCAAACACAAAATAGCAGATGCATAAAGGAACTCAAAAAGAAAAACAAACAGAATGTCCATGTCTTTACAAGTTCAAGCCAAACAAAATTCCAGCATGAAGGAGGGAAGTGGATATAAAATGCAGAACTATTCAATAATTGATAGTTTATGAGAAAGGGAAAATCATTTCTCTTCAATGGAGTAACATTGGTTATGCCAACCACATTCCACAGCAGGCCACATATTCAGAAGTAGCTAGGTAACACAAATCACTCTCCCATTTTTATGTCTTTCACTTTTTTAAGAAATAGAAAGACCATGAAATTGGAGGACAGGGATATGAAGAACAATTTTGGAGGAGGTGGGACAGGGAAAAGAGTATGATCAAAATAAACAGCATGAAAATCTTCAACAATTAATAAAAGAATTAAATGAAGAAAAATAAAATATTTTCAAACAAAAGTACAACAAAATTGAAGTTTCTCATACAGTAGATTTTCATATAATCAAGAAACTGTCTAATTCTCCAAAAGGAAGCTCTTCTTAGAACAACCATATACATTAGACCAGCATGATGAAAATTACTAGCAGTTAATTATTGAGCTACTTTCTGCATTTGCTTTCTTAAAACAGAATATTAAATATAGAGGCATTATCTTGCAAATCTATATAAAAAAACCAAAGCAATCACCTGGGGCTGTTTGGACATCTCTCCCTGGTCTGGCTTCTTCCCAAGTTTTGGTGAATCCTCTGCCCTTGGGTTTTTTCCCGGCTTTGGTGAGGTATGAAATAAAAAATAAAATGATGTATATTTACAAATAGAACTCATTATGTTCCTGTAGGAATGCCAAATAATAAAGCTTCATATAACATGAAAAGGCTACAACCATGCTCTTGTGACATACAGCCTGGTAGTCTAATTCAAAAAACTTTAGTATTTTTTGTAAAGATTACTTGCCAGGTTATAGGTGGCTATGTTCACAGGACACACACACACAGAAAGAGAGAGAGAGAGAGAGAGAGAGAGAGAGAGAGAGAGAGAGAGAGAATCAATGATTTTGAAATTTAGTTATAAGATAAATGAATTTTACATAGCAAAAATTACTGAATTCAACTAATAATTATTTACAAGTAGAGATATGAAAGATAGACACACATATCTGCCCTCAGCTACCAGGAAAAATATGACCATTTAACTGTAGTCATAACTTTACCTCCCTATTTACAACTAATTCACTTAAGTATACTTGACTATACTTATTTATTTTTACAAATTGCCTTATATTTCATGTTGAAAACTCCTATTTTAAAAGAATTCTAGTAATATTACTCACACTCTTTGTCATCAATATCAGGATTTTCATCAGCATCAGACCACTGATACTCCATCACACTGACATTATCACTAAAGATTCCAGTGGCCCTTTTGTTATTCTTGGCAATTTCTGAATCTTTTATTCCCAAGACAACCATGTCCCTTTGTCCACCTTCAACTCCCTTACTTGCTACCTTTAGTTTCAGACCAATGAGACTGTTTTACTTTCACTGCCAAGTTTAGCCACAGTTCCCTCTATTTTTATTCAAGTCATTAGGAGTAGGAAGAAAAAGCCTACAAGGCTGAGATGAGAGATGAGTCAACCTGGAGTCTGCCTGAGGGGCTAGCAACAGTCGCTGTCAGAGGTCCTGTTCATGCCTAGCCAATAAGGGGCAACCACACAATGATAACAGATCAGAATGCCTGGGTGCTGGGAGGGTATATAAAGTTTTCCACATTGCTAAATAAATGAGTCTGCTATATGTCTTCTACCTGATTCCTAGTGTCTGAGTCATTGATGCAGTGCCTTCTCACTCCCTCCCCCGAGGATGTTAGGGCCAAGCTATAATTAGGCTCCTTCAGGATTTGCTCTACTTTTGACACAACTTGCACTCAACTGTCTACCTCCACCAATACTTCTTAAATGAAGTCTCCCTTCCTTCAATGTTCCTGAGCTATCAGTTCTCACCTCCACGTCACTTGTCATCACGTCCTCTAGCAGAATCAACAGAAAAGTGGTCAGCAATCTTGTTTTGTAAAGAGCTAGACATTTGTAAATAGTAAACATTCTAAAGGCCATATACAGTCTGTCACATAAACATATTTGTGTGCTTGCTGTTAAAAATAAAACCAATGATGAGGGAATGGAAACATGAGGGATCAGGATGGTCAAGTTGGAGGACAGGACGAAGGGGTTAAGAGTAATGAGAGAGATATCTTGATAGAGTGGGCCATTACGGGGTTAGGGAAAACCTTGGTGCCAGGGAAATTCCCAAGAACTCATGAGGATGATCAGAGATAAGACTTCTAGCAATAGTGAAGAGGGTGCCTGAACTGGCCTTCCCCTATAATTAGATTGGTGACTACCCTAATTGTCATCATAGAGACTTCATTGAGTATCTGATGGAAGTAGATGCAAAGATCTACAGCACTGGGTCGAGTTCCAGGAGTCCAGTTGAAGGGAGGGTAGAGGGATTACACAAACAAGGAGGTAGGTCAAGATCATGATAGGAAAACCCACAGAGACAGCGAATCTGAGCATGTGGAAGTTCATGGACTCTGGATGGACAGCTAGGGAGCTGGCATGGGACCAAATTAAGACCCTCTGCATCTGGGTGACAGTTGTGTAGCTTGGTCTTTTGTGGGGTCCCTAGCTGGGGGACCAGGACCTGTTCCTGATGCATGAACTAGCTCTTTGGAACCTATTTCCTATGGTGGGATGCCTTGATGCAGCTGGGAGGAACTTGGTCCTGCCTCAACTTGATATACCATAGTTTATTGATTCCCACTAGAGGCCTTACCCCATCTGAATGGAGGCAGAGAAGGAGTGGATGGGGGAGGTAAAAAGGAGGTGGGGGGGAAGGAATGGAAGGAGAAAGAGTGGTTGGTATGCAAAATATAAGCAAGCAAGTAAGTAAATAAATAATTAATAAGTAAGTAGTAATTACTTATTACTTATTAATAAATAAATAAATAATAAATAAATAAAGCCAAGTGATATAAAAAACAATCTTGTGTCACAATTTCATGGGCTCTATGAAAATTCCACACATCGACAAGAAGGAGTCACTCTTGTAATTGATTTTTAAGTATATTCTCATTCTCTAGTGTTTTCTTCTGCTTAAGTTACGACCTCTATCTTTCTCTGGTCCATTCAGCAAATGACTCAACCTTCCACTGTATATAAAGATTAACATCTGTTTCTGTGAATGACCTGAACTATTCCATCACACTATCTTAAAACATTCCTGGGGACTAAAGAGGTGGATTAGCAGTTAAGAGCACAAGATGCTGCCTTTACAAGGACCAGAGTTTATTTCCAACACTTGTATCAAATGGTTCACAACTGCCTGTAACTACAACTCAAAGGTTCCAATATCCTGTTTTGTCCTCTGAAGATACCTGCATGTAAGTGTAAAAACAAACATGCAGACAGATGATCAAAAGAAATACGTCATTTTATTAAGGTCCTAACTCCTCCACAATGAAATTCAAAGACACTGAAATGGTAAAAATTTGGGATAAAGAATTCAAAAGTCCAGTTTTAAGGATGACTAATGATTCCAAATTCAAGCAGTCAGTTCAGTAATCGGATCAGAAACTTAGCACATTGCATAGAAAAGTGAAAATAGTGATTCCAAATAAATTATTTAGGCAAAGAAAACATTAAATCAAAATTTAAAACTCAATAGACCACTGGTCCCAGGCAGGGAAGAGAAGATATGGGCCTGAAGATGGTGAGTGTAGAAGGCTAGACATGGACTGTGAGGGCCACATCTCATCTCCTTCAGGAGGAATCACCAGTTGCATAGCACATCTATAAGTAATGAAGATAATCTGCAACAAAGTGAATGGACAGAGGCACATTTGTAAGATTAATCAAGCAGGCTAAATTTCAAAACTGTATAGATTAAAGGTTGTAGGAGAAAGGAGTAAAGATCAGAGTTAGGAAGGTGGGGAGGAATATCTAACAGTAAAGCCTCTCAAAAAAACCATAAGGAAACTACTATATTAGAAGCTTCCTGAAACATATACACATTCACACACGTATATAAAAATGTTTAAGTAAAATCTGCATGTAATAGAGGAAAACAACCCTAACTAGAAAACACGTATTACCAAAAATCCCCCCAACGCAAGAAATGGGTTACCAGTTTTTGAGGTGTTGGACAAAGATGTTCCAGAGAACCCACTCCTAATATTATAGGCCACGGACAAAGCTATTAATTACCCTCATCAACTTGATGGCAAGAATCTCAAGATAGTTTTAATTTACTGAACAAACCACAAACTTCTGTTATAGAGCATGGAGAAACCTAGCTGCTATTCAAATGGAAGTTTCAGCACTAATGGCTATGACTTATAGTGGTAAACATTGCTACACACACTATCAGAGAAGGAAAGTAATCATCGGCCTGATTCATATACTAATCCTGTGACCTATTATAACAACCTCCTGGCACTGTACACTGTACACTAGTGCAATAGTGATACGACTTTTATAGGGAAAATCAACCTTTTTTATAGAAATTAGGGCCCATTTCATGAGATGGAACCTATAGTTGATACTGTTAATGTAGATAAGATTAAAAGATTTAGTGAAAATCCCACTCCTATGACTCTGCTAAATGGACACAGTAATAAAGCGACCATTAAAAACATATTATGAACATTGATCACGATAATTCTTAATCCTCTTCAGAGAAGTTTCTTGCAGTGTATATTAATCAATACAGGGACCAACAGCTGAACAACCTGCAGAGAGTGAGAAACTTTGGAGTGCTGCACCTCAAATGGGATATTTGTATCACAATGTTCCCCTCAAGGCTCAGGGTTCTATGTGGAATGTGAGGCAAAAAGATTCTAGCCAGAAGTGGAAAAGAACTTCCACCAGGCAATATTTTTTTTTCAGAAACAACTGAGTAGACAACCACACGAAACCAGAAAGACTGTAACAGAATGTACAAGATGAGTATAAGCGCAAACCTGACAAATTCTTAGCATGGGTGAGGGGAAGTGGGCACACAGTTCCAGTCCTAGCAAACTGATTCACAGTTTATAGCTGTTGGGAACGAGAAAATCAGTTTTCTCCAATGGAGTAACACTAGGTAGGGATATCAACCACACTCTAAGGCAGGCCACATGTTCAGAAACAGTAGGCTAACACAAGTCAGACTCCCAATTTTTTTATGTGATTTTCATTATTTTTAAGAGAGAGGAAAAACATGAAGATTAAAGGACAAGGTGGTGGAAGATAATCTGAGATGAGTTAGGGGAGGGGAAAGAATAGGATCAAATTGAATTGTATAAGATTTTCTTTTTTTTTTTTAAGTATTCAAACATGTGAGCTTTATTTCTTCAAACCATAACAGCTAACTCTTGGTATTTTTGACCAAGGAAAAAATTTAGGGACTTCCACCTCTTTTCCACAAGACAGTTAATAAATGTAAGCTGTCTATCAATGATGGCTATACATATCTTGCATAATAACACACCAGAGGATTTCCCTGGGGTGCTAGGGAAGACCATTGGATTCACCAGAGACAACAGATAGGGTAGGACTTCCTTGGTCTGACATCCACTTTTCCTTTTCTATAAGAGAGACGCATTTGGTCTTTGGGGTTTAAAGTAATCTAAGATTCTAGGATGAGAATTTGAGCACAAATGGTTTGTTCTTGAAAGGAACATAGGGGAGATGATGCAAATAAGGGAATTATAGGTGAGTAGTTAATCACATAGAACAAACTGGGAAAGTTAAAACACTGTCTAAGATACAGTTATCCTGCCCAAGGAGAACTATTATATTTATAGTCTCATAACTGCCAATCATCAGTATAAATATGCCCTAAAGGATACTTTTTCTTTTGTTAACTTCAGCTATGTGTATAATTAGGGACAGAATTTATTTTACATATAAACCTTGGTATTTTTTTGACATGGGGGGGGGGGTCTTATTATGTAGCCCAGACTTGCCTTGGACTGGTGATGTCACTGCCTCTACCTCCCAAGGGCTGAGACTACAGATATGCATCACCATAGGGTTTAATTATTAAAAACTTTGCATTGAAGTACTTTTTTCCATATCTTATTATTTGGGCTTTATTTTATTTTAAGCAGTCTCACAAACATTTTTTTAGGCATGGTTTCATACATTTATGCTTGACTAAGCTATTTTTGTGTGTCTGAATTGTATAATATTTTCAAAGAATAAATAAAAGCATTAAATACAGAAAAACAATTTTAACCCAAAATGCCACAAAAATCAAAGTTTTATATACAATACAATTTGATACCATCAAGAACTAGTTTCATTATCTAAAATGAAGGCCCTTCATTTTAGTCTAACTCTTCAAAGAGAAGGCGTTTATTAGAACAAACAGTGAGAATTTCTAGCAGTTAATCAATGAGTTATTTTCTGTATTTGTTTCTTTAAGACAGAAAAGTCTTTCCTTTTGAAATACTATACCACTATTCAACATAGAGGAAATATCTTTCAAATCAAAATAGAAAAACAATCACCTGGAACTGCTTGGGCACCTTTTCCAGGTCTGGCTTCATCTTTCCCGGGTTTGGTGGATCCTCTGCCCTTGGGTTTTTTCACAACTTTGTTGAGATATAAAATGAAAAAAAAAAGGTGTACATTTAAAGTTAAACCATATTATTCTCATATATGGATGTCAAATAAAACTTTCTATAATAAAATGCAGACTCTCTTATAATGTTGTCATGGAAAGGCTACTATCACACCTACATGATACACAGCTGTTAGTTATCTGGTAATCCAATGTAGACAATTTCAATGCTTTGTGTTAAGAGCATCTGTCATGTTCTTTGTGTCAATGTTCACACTTATAAAAGAAGAGATATTTCAACATCAACACTTTTACAGTTTGGTTATCAGATAAAAAGGATTCTATATAGCAAAATGTACCAATTATAAATAAGGAGAGCTATGAAACACACACACACAAATATATGCACACACCCTAATACAACTGTGTTCAAAGATTAACTATTCTCATTTTATGGGATTTATAACTTAAAACAATCTACAGTTTTACTTCTGTGTTCAAAAGTATTCATAAATAGGACCAGTGATAAAAGCTCTCCCATCTTTTTGCAGCATTTTTATTCTACTTCTACTCATCAAAAGGGACATAATCCATCCTCAGTTACCAGGGCAAATATAAGATCAGATAACTGCCACCAAACTCTATACTTCATCTACAACTAATTTCAACTATATACACCAGACTCTTCTTATTTCATTCTTAACAACTACCTTACTTACACCCCAGGTTCAAATTTAAGTAATTCTAGTAATGTTACTCACATTACTTTTTCTTGTTAACCAGGACCATACCAGTGATGCCTCAACCCATTGACATCATCAAAAAAGATTCCAGCTTATATCCTGAAATGGTTATTCTTGGCAATTTCTTGATCTCTTATATCTTCAAGACAACAGTGTCTCTGTGTCCACCCTAATACACTACAAGCCACTGTTAATGCTATTGGTTATTCTCAAAAATTTGACAGTAAGATTTCAAGGTAGTTTTAATTTGCAGAATGCATCATAAATTTATGTCTTGGAACACGGAAACAACTAGCTGGTACTCAAATGGAAACTTTGCTCTAACTGGCTATGTTTCATAGTGCCGAAAGGGGCTACACACACTAGCCAAAGGGGCAAAGAAATCACCAATCTGACCCATATACTAACCTAGTGATATACGAAATCAACCTTCCTACAAAATATACTGGTGCAAAGATAGATCAAATGCTATGGAAGTAACAAAGCACGTTTGAAAGGATTTAAAACAAACAGCATTAAATGGCCCCCATACTTGACACTATTAATTAGCCCAAGAACCTGAGATTATGCAAGTAAAAAGCCTTAGGGAAAATCCTACTAGTATGATTTTGCTGAATGGACATAGCAATAAAATGACTCCGATGACAGACTGCTATACTCATTGATCAGTGCATCACTCAAGCATCACCAGAGAAGCTCCTTAAAGTGATGGTAAGACAGTGACTTATAAGTGGACCACATGCACAGAGCAAGAGACTGCTGTGCTCAACCATGAATTGAATGTCTGTATCACATCCCTCCCCTCAAGGTTCAGGGATCTATATAGAGGAACAGGCAGAAAGAGTTGAGCTAGAGCTGGAAAATGATGTCCCCCAGACAGCATTTAAAAACACAACAGAGAAGAACCAAATCAAGGAGGGGTTGAGGTAAGGGAAAGAATATGATCAAAATATACTACATGAATTTCTTTAAAAATAAAAAAGATTTTTAAATAAAAAAATAAAAAATAAAAACACAACAGAATAGGTATACAAAGGAATTCACAAAGACCACAACTGAATGCACGTCTTATACATTCTCAAGCATGCCAAAATCTCAGCATGGAGAAGGGGAAGTGGGCATACAAATTCTAGCCCTATCCAAGAACTGATAGCTGTGAGAAAAGGAAAACCCATTTTCTGTAATGGAATAACGCTAATTATATGAACCACACACAAAGGTAGGCTACATGTTCTTACACAAATCAGATTCCCATTTTTATATGTTTTTCATGTTTGTTTAAGAGAAAGTAAGAACATGAAGTCCAGAGATTGCAGGCATGGAGAACAATTTGGGAAGCTTTGGGGGAGAGCAAAGAATAGGAACAAAATAAAAATGTTTAAAAATTATTATATAATAAAAGCACTAAACAAAATAATTTAAATCAAAGTTGCTATATATAAATGAATATTTACATCTAACTTCATATAATATGAAGAATTTCATATAATTAGCATTGATTTAAAACAACAAAAACTTTGGACTAGAACACTAAAAATTCTAACAATTCACCATTAAGCTACTTTCTAAAAGTTTTCTTAAAAGAGAAAAAGAGTCTTTCCTTCTGAAATATTGCACCATTACTCACTGTGCAAGAATTCTCTTGCACATCAATATGGAAAATTAAAGCAATCACCTGTGGTTGCTTGATCATCTTTGTCTTCATCCTCAAAAGGGTTGGTGAATACACTGCTGTTGGGGTTTTCTGCAGCTTCTTGAAGATATGAAATAAAAATAAAAATAATTTACATTAAAAGCAAGAACACATTATGGTGCTTTATGTATCCCAAATAATAAACTCTCCTAAATAAAGCACAGAATCTCCTATAGTGTTGTCAATAAAAGGCTACAATCATGCTCATGTGATTCGTGAGTTCCAGTTTTCTGATAGATCAATTCAGATAAAACTTTAATATTATCTGTGAGGAATACCTGCCAGGACATTTGTGTCTCTGTTACTAGTTTAGCAAGAGAAAAAATTCATAACTAATTCCTTCACCATGTGGTTATTAGAAAAATGAATTTTACTTAGTTAAAAAGTAGTATTTGTAAATAAAATTCTTTGTAGAAAGAGACTTAAAACATACGCACACACAAATATATATATTCAAACATAAGTTATACTTTTTGAGGGGTTTATTTGACAATGTGAAACAGTCTACAGAACTGCTTCTTCTGGGTCAAAAGATCATACATAAAATATGAATAAACATGGCATATGAAAACAAATGTCCCATTTTTCTAGAACCTTTTTATGCCACTTTGTCTGTTCACAGTAAAGGATGAAGTCTATTTTAAAGTACCAGGACAAATATCAGACTTATAAAGATTATTTAATTGAATTTAATTGCTGCCATAATATTACTCTTCATTCATATCTCAACTTTATTCACTAAACACTTATTCACTTTTAACAACTGCTTTACACTCCAAGTTTAAAAAGAAAATTCTTTCAAAAAAAGTCAGATGAAAACCCATGGCAGTATGATTTTATCAACACACACCAAGGCAGGTCATATGTTCAAAAGTAGTTAGTTAACACAAATTAGACTCCAATTTTTTATGTTTTTTTTCCACATTTGTTTAAGAGAATGAAAACATGAAGCCCACAGAATGAAGAGGTGGTAGTCAATTTGGGAGGAGTTAAGGGAGGGCAAGGAAAGTGGTAAAAATAAATTATATGAAATTCTCGAAGGATAAATAAAAGCATTGACATAAAAGAAAACAATTTTAAACAAATATGTCACATAAATGAAGATTTATATACCCTAAATTTTCACATAATCAGGAAATAGTCTAATTCTCCAAAAAGGAAGCAATAGTCTATTTCTATAAAAAGGAATCTTTCACTAAAAGAAAAATATTGGACCAGCAAATACTTTCTGTATTTGTTTTTCTAAAACAGAAAAGATTCTTTCCTTCCAATAGCACTATTTAATGTACAGGAATTATCTTGCAAATCAATATAAAAACCAAAGCAATGGCCTAGAGCTGCTTGATAATCTTTCAGAGGTCTGTCTTCAACCTCCAAAGGGGTGGTGAATACACTTGCCCTTGGGAGTTTTTGTTTGCAGTTTGGGGGGGGTTATTTAATGAAAAATAAAAATGATATATGATTACAATTGATATAATCAGTGTACTTCATTGTGTTCCTGCATGCCAAATAATAAAGCTTCCTATTATAAAATATAGATGATTCTGTAGTGTTGTTTTGAAAAAGCTACCATCATGCTCATGTGATAGGTTGCCTGGTAGCCAAATTCAGGTAATTTTAATTATTTTGTGAAAATTACCTCCCAGGTTACTTGTGTCTATGTTTACAATTTAAAAAAGAGAGCTATTTCAGTATTAATACCTTCACAATTTGGTTATTTTAGGGAGATTATTTTATAGTTAAAAACTAGTAATTCTAAATAAAAATTCTTTCCTAAGGAGCTATATGAGACACATACAACCCCACATAAATACCCTTGTATTTAAAGCTCGACTGCTCTCATTCTCAGAACTTCGTAAGTTAAAACAGTCTGCTACTTGTTTCTTCCTTACCCAAAGACCATACGGTTTGCATAACAAGCGCTGTGATAGCAAACATCCCATCTTTCTGTAGCCCTTCTTATTTTAGTTCTATGAAATACTGAATAGAAGTAGTCTGTCCTCAGTTACCAAGGCAAATACAAGATCATTTAACGATTGGCATAACTTCACCCTCTATTTACAACTAATTCACTCATATAACCCAGTCTTCTTATTTTAAGAACTACCTTAAACTCTTGGTTCAATGGGTCCACTATTTTTTACATAACTCTAGTGATATTACTCACATTACATTTTTTTACACTGTCTCCCTGTCATGATTTTCAGGATTTGACCAGTACAGAGCTTCACATTGACGTTTTCAATTGAAGAGTCCAGCTAAGGTCCTGGGAATGGTTATTCCTGTCAATTTCTGGAACTCTTTTATCTCCAAGATAACAGTGTCCCCTTGCCCACGCTTCAACTCTCTTATTTGCTATCTGTTGTTTTACATGAACTGATCAAGTTTTACACTCTTGTTGCAAAGTTTACCCCTAGTTCCTTGTATTGTCATTCGATCCATTATGTTTCGTCTGGCTCTACACCTTACACAACTTACACAATTGTCCATCTCTACCAATACTTCTAAGTTAAGTGTCCCTTCCTATATCACTCCTGAGCAATGAGTCAGCTCCTGCCTCTCAGTCACAAGAGGTTGGCAATTTTGTTTTGTAAGGAGCTACACAGTAAACATTCCAAAAGATACATATGGTCTCTGTGTCAGTCACATTATTTGTATACTTTAAAGAATAAAATAACAAACCAAAGAACATTAAAAAGCAATCTCATCACACAGCTACATGAGCTGGATATGGTACGAAGGAATGGCTGTTACAGACAGTCTCTAAGTATAGTCACCCATTACAATGTTTTCTTTTATTTAAGTTCCCACCTCCATCTCTCTGTTACATTCAACAAATGTTCCAACCCTCCACTTTATCTGAAGCTTAAAGGCCATCTCTGGAAGTGAACCTACATATTCCATTATACCATCTTAAAACTATAACGACATCTTGAATTTTGCAGGAAAATGGATGGAGCTAGAAAACATTATTTTGAGTGAGGTAACCCAGACACGGAAAGACAATTTTTCATATGTACTCACTCATAGGTGGTTTTTAAACATAAAGCAAAGAAAACCAGCCCACAAACATCAATTTCAGAGAACTTAGAGAACAATGCAGACACTAAGAGAGACTTACATAGATCTAATCTACATGGGAAGTAGAAAAAGACAAGATCTCCTGAGTAAATTGGGAGCACGGGTACCTTGAAGGGGGGAATGGAGCGGAGAAAAATGTAGAGCTCAATAAAAATCAATAAAAAAGAATAAATAAATAAATAAATAAATAAATAAATAAATAAATAAATGTTTAAAAAATTCTCGTTGGGCCTTAAAAAAATGGGTCAGCAATTCAAAGTATTTTCTGCCTCCCTTCCATAGAACCTGAGTTCAGTTTCCAACATCACATCAAGTGGTTCACAACTGTCTGTAACTGCACCTGCTGAGTATCCAATGCCTTTTTCTGTGTCTGTATCTACATGCTTTTGCAAAACGCATTCACACACAGAGAGAGATATGAATGTGTTTGTGTGTGTGTAAAATTTCCAGCTACCATATAACCTAATCCAAGATGTTGAAATGGTGAAACTTTGGGACAAAGAATTCAAAAGTCTACTTTTACAGATGATTAATGACCTCAAAATGGATTTAAATGAACATGTAAATAAATTCAGTCAGGCAGTTCAGGGATAGGATGATGAGCTACTCAACAACTATAATACAAAATCTAGCAAACAGATAGGTTTTCAGAGGTTCTGAAAAAAAAAAGATACAGGCAAAGAAAAATTGAATAAAAATTTGAATTCAATGGAATTTAAGTAAAATGCTAGCAATAAAAACCCTAGTACATGGAACTTCTTTTTGAGGTAGTGGCCAAAGGTTTCTCATAGACCCAATACCTAACATAAGAGGCCATTGCCTATGCTATTGGTAACCTACAACTTGACAAGAATTTCAAGGTAGTTTTAAATTGCTGAACACACTACATATTGATGTCATGGTACATAGAGAAACCAGCCGGTACTCAACTGGAAGCGTCACCCTTACTATCTAGGGTTCATATCTATAGATACTGCCAGCAGAAAAAAGAAACCATCAATTTCATAGAGCTATGGCCCCTCTGAGTTCTAATAGCCATCTGCCCTCAAGGTATGCTCACTGGTACAGTAGTAGCAAGAATGTTATGGAATGGACCAGATTTTCATTGGACTGAAGGATCATCTCATGCCAATGAGACCTACTGGCCTGTGACTAGATATGTCTTGGGCCCTGAGGGAAAAATCTTCCATTATTAGTATGCTAAATACAATAAAATGATTTTTAATTACATATTCATTGATCTGTGAATCCTTCAAATGTTGTCAGAAAACCTTTATCAGCAATGTATGGTAATTAACATAGAAACCAGAAGTGGACCACTTGAAGAAAGTGAGAGTTTTAAATAGTCAACCTTACACAGGATGTCTGTATCAAACCCCTACTGTCAAGGCTCAAGGATCTATGTGGAAGTGTGGACAAAAAAGACTGTAAGAACCAGAGATGGAAGAAGTCTTCAAGGAGACAGGGCTTTCAAGACCTAACAAGGCAGATGCAGAAAGGAACAGAGAAAGACTGTAACGGAATGTATAATACTTACACAAGTTCAAACCTGATAAAATCCTAGAGTGGCACAGGTGAAGTGGGAACAAAGTCCCAGCCCTAGCCAAGAAGCAATTTATAATTGAGAACTGCTAGATAAGAGATCAGATTTGGACCCTGGAATGGTACCAGGTATCATTCCAAGGCAGGCCCCATGTTCAAGAATAGTCTGAAGACACATATCAGATTTCCAGTTTTATATGCTTCACTCTCTTTTAATAGTGTAAAAAGCAGGAATTTAGGTGGACAGGGAGGTATGGGAAGCTCCTGCAGGAATTGGGGGCAGGGAAAGTATATGATTAAAATAAATTATATGAAATTCTCGAAGAAAAGCATTAAAAAAACCAAAAAATATTTTAACCTTAAATGGAAGTTTAGGTACATTAGAATTTCATATAGCCAGGAAATAGTCTATTTTTTTTCAAAAGTAGGCTTTCATTAAATACCAAGCACCACTGACTTATCCTAGCGCAAATTCCTAGCAATTATACATTGGTCTACTTTTCTTAAAACAGAAAAGAGCCCTTCCTTCCGAAAACACTACACTATTATTCAATGTAGAGGAACCATCTTGCAGATTGGTGTAGAAAAAAAGTCAATCACCTGGAGCTGCTTCTTCATTTTCCAAAGCTGTGGCTCCATCTTTCCAAGGTTTAGTCACTGCCTTGCTCCTTGGTTTCCTTTCAGCTTTTTTGAGAAATAAAATGAAGAAAATTATGTGCACTTAAAAGCTAGAATACATTAGGTTCCTGCATGCATACCAAATATTAAAGCGTCTAATAAATAATTTATACATGCTAATACAGTGTCATCATTAAAAGAAATTTATTCTCATATGATATATAGCTTCTAGTTACCTGGTGTCATAATACATACAATTTTAATATTGTGTGTGAAGATAATCTACCAGATAATTTGTGTCTATGTCCGGCTTAGAAACTGATATTTCACTAATTATGCCATGACAATTTCCTTTGTAGAAAATCTATAATTTACATAGTAAACATTATTAATTCTAAAATTGTTTGGCTGATAGCGATCACACACATACACTTACAAACACACACACTTTTGATATAAAGCAAGATGGAATTTTATAGCTAAGAACGCCTACAATAAAATCAGATATCAAATTAATAACCTAATGATGTATCTAAAGGTCTTAGAAAAGTAAAAACAGAGCCGGGCAGTGGTGGTGCATGCCTTTAATCCCAGCACTCTGGAGGCAGATGCAGGCAGATCTCTGTGAGTTCAAGGTCAGCCTGGTCTACAAGAGCTAGTTTCCTGGACAGGCTCCAAAGCTATAGAGAAACCGTGTCTCGAAAAAAAAAAGGATGAAAGGAAGAAAGGAAGAAAGGAAGAAAGGAAGAAAGGAAGAAAGGA